GAATAGCCAGAATCGACAACCAACAAACAATCCGCGGGCAAGATAGATGTATTGGATGTGTTGGAGAGAGGATCGCCGAAGAGAGAATGGATTTCGTTCCATGCATTGAGAGTTGGACCTATAGACTTCAAGTCAGTACGGGATCATATGCTGCACCAAATGATCGGGCTACTGTACCCAAGCATCTAGCATATCCACCAAATCCCCATTCCTCCATAACCATCTCATCGGTGTTTCGTTGTAAAATAGGCAAGGCATTTGGCGCCTCGGTAAGTACGAGGGTAGTGTCTTCGGGGTCCGCGATGTGATGATTCCGATTCCGAGCCGTCGCCTTCCCATCAAAGAAAGACTGGTCCCATATCTCTCTCTCGGCTTCCCAGTTCACAACATATCCCTTCTCCACTGGGCGCCGGAACATCGCCTCATTCCAGTCGTTGACTGTCGCTAGCTGCGCGCCAATAACAATCTTATTATCGCGTGTTTTAACGAGAGCATTGGGTATTGAGGAGCAGGCGGAAACGGTTTCGTCGGAGGCCGGGGCTTGAGAAGCGTAGCCAGCTTTGATCATGTAGGCGCCATTGTCGATGATAAAGGTCTTGTCAGGAAGGTACCGCGACGTCTCCACGAGCTGTGTGGGTGTCGCGGGCGTCCTTGGAGGAGCGCGAACCTTTGCTGTTCCCATTATGGCTGGCAATGATGAACAAAAAGCTTTGAGCTTCCGTCAAGCTGGGATGCAATGATGAAGGTGTTTGTCTTGTTTGATATCAAAAATCCCCGCTTAGGTAATATGGGATTCCCTGCGTTAGTCACGTGCAACTCCGCCAACGTCTATGGAGCAAGAAACATTTCCATTTCCCACGCTCAACGACTAAGGGGAAGCGGAAATTCTGTCAAATAAACTCATGGCTATAGTAGATCTCGAAGGCATGAGGTGAGATATATCTGTTGGCGACCATCACAGCACTGAGACGTATCGGGCAAACTTATTTTCGATACGTTAGCCACTGGTTGCACGGCATTTTCACTCATAACTTCCATAATTTTCGTATCTGAAATGCTGCATGATTTTCTGGAAGGTGAATATACCAATAAAATATCTCAGAAAGCATCCCGGTCCCACCACCCGGCCGGTACGGAGCTGTCGTTAATTATACAGAAGTGAAGCCAATCCCGACAATCGGTCTGTCGAAATGACCCCACCAGACGGTCAGTCGGAGCAATCGCTAATTTAGGACGAATTACGAGGGCGATGGACGAACTCTCGGGATTTACATACTCCATCGGTCTGCATTTTACGGGAAAATATGAGGGGCTAACTCGGCTAACTCCCCTAGGTGGGATATTGCATATTTACTTCCTTCCCCCCAAAGTATAGTGTAAATACAACCTTCATCTCCAGAACTGATTATTACGAAATGGCTGCCCTTCAAACTATCAAGGTTCCACACCTAGGTGGCATCAAAGCTGGATACGCCTTCTCTAAGGACCACTATGATCCTTCCAAGCCGACATGTGTGCTCATTAATTCGATGTGCATGACCGCGTCTCTCTACCATGATCAATTCAACAATGAAGTTCTGACAGATGCCATGAATCTTCTGGCCATTGAGCCATTAGGCCATGGCTCTACCAGTTCTCCCTCGGAACACTTTACGTACTGGGATTCTGCTCACATGGCCTTACAGGTCATGGACCACTTTGGGATTCAGAAAGCCTTCGCCCTAGGGACAAGTCAGGGGGGATGGATCGTGACTAGGATGGCCCTCCTAGCCCCAGAAAGGGTGAGTCCAAGCCCTCCAATAAACTGCTGATTTATCCCAAGCCAAACCCGACCATAGTATTAACTTCGCATGTTGCTAGATTCTCGGTCTCATGCCCCTTGGGACCTCCATGGATTATGAATCCTTGGATTCTCGGTCCAAAGGGTGTTGGGATCCTGCTGCCAATCTCACGGTGTTTTATGAGAAGTGGACCAGTCCCTCGGCTACGCCTGACTTTGTTGTGGATGATGTCTGGTGTGGACTAGTGGGGGGAATCGGCTTCGGTGCCACTGCCAACGAAACGAGATCTGCATTCTGGACTCAGACCTTGAAGGAAGTGTATAAGGGTGATGAGGGTCGGAAAAAGGTCCGAATGGCGCTCAATTGCCTACTGGAGAGGGATGGGCTCCTGCTTCGGATCGGGGATATCAAATGTCCCGTTTATTGGTTACATGTGAGTGCTATATTTACTGATGTAGATGATTTATGCATTAACAAATCGATAAGGGAACTGAAGACACCCCTTTTGGGACGATCGTTCCTGCAGAACAGATCAAACGTTTTAACTCGTCTGTGGAGGCTAAGCTGGTGATGATTGAAGGGGGTGCGCATTATCTGAATGCCACCAACCCAAAGGAGGTGGATGAGGCCCTTCTGGAGATGGTAACAAAGTATTCCGTATAGAATTGATATGATAGGTGGATTCTCTATATCCAAGCCACTAACACCACTAAAGAGAATTATCAAAGTATTCACCTACCTATTTCAGCCTTTTTCCTCTAATTTTCAATTTTTGTAACTCCAAGCTAGTAACTAGTTATTTATCTTTTCATGTTTAATAAGTGGGACTTTCTTATTTTCTGTTTGGCAAACCCTTCCTACCAATCTGCAACCCCTGTACCCATGTGAATAATTTACGTTGGATTTGCAAGCCATTCGTATACATCCCAGCAGTTCCTAATGTGTACTCAGTATGCATAAACAAGATCAGAGCAAATTCCTAACCCGGGATGGGTTGCCAAATTAAGTTCAGACTCGAGACACGCCAAGCTTGTCAGTCAACGTTCGAAAGTGGAGAAAGGGATATCCAATAATGAAATCAACAAAGATGGATCTTTCTTATACAAATTGACCGCATATTCCGTGGGATTTTATTGCTATTTGCGGAGTTGTTCTATGTTCACCTCCCTGAAACGTCATGGAAAGCAACCAGGACAGTCTGCAACCATGGTCCATAGCTACCACGGCCTCAGTCACGGTGCTGGCCTTCGTGACGGTCTGTCTTCGACTACTCGCCCGTTATGAGCGGATGCAAAAGCTGTGGTGGGATGACTATATGATCATCTTTTCTATGGTTAGTTTGATCTTTTCACTCCATTGAAGCCCAACCGCATAGTTTCTGATCGAAACACAAGCTATGGAACCTGATCGTTGTCGGATTCATCTACGCCATGATTCAACATGGAATGGGGCTCCATGCAAACACGATTCCACCGGAAGATGTGGTTTTGGTTGCAAAGTATCTTGTTGTGGCCGAGGTTCTCTACGTGTTCAACCTGGTTTGGACCAAACTGGGCATTCTGCTCATGTACTACCGGATCTTCCGCTTTCCTTACTTCAAGACATGGGCATACATCATTGGAATATTTGTTATCCTTTGGGTGATCTGTATAACCTTTCTCTTCATCTTCATTTGCGTCCCCGTCCGGAAACTATGGTATCCCCAAATCCCAGGGCGGTGCATCAACCAGGTTGCTACATGGGTCGCCAACGCTGTCTCAACGATCGCAACCGACATTGCCATTCTACTCCTTCCAATTCCACAAGTATGGAAGCTCCAGCTTCGAATGTCGGAAAAGATAGCCGTTTTAATTGCCTTCAGCTTGGGATTTTTGTAAGCCACTAACTTTCCAAAAAGGAAAAAAGAAAAAGAAAAGAAAACTCCCCAATCTAACCTCAACAGCGTCGTCTTCGCCTCCGCCTACCGTTTCTCAGTCCTCTTCAGCTACAGCCCAGCTGATTCGTCCTACACTCTTGCCCCAACAGTTAGCTGGACCGCGATCGAAATGGCCGCCGGCATCATTTCGGCCAACCTCCCAACCCTCCGCCCTGCTTTCCGTTTCGGAGCACGCAAGCTGGGTATCGACGGTAGAGTTCTGGCTCTCTTCAGAAGTACAAATAGAACGACATCCAAGACCTCGGATGCTGTCACTCATCCTTCGGGAGGAGCAGAGTCCACTGCCACCATCATTCAGCACACCAAGCATCCAAAACGGCATTCTTTCTATCACTTACCAGATGATCCTGGCTCGGTAGGAGCACAGTCACGAATGGATATCTCGTTCAGGCCCGACCATGACAATGCAAAGATGTACACCAATGTGTTGGGTCCGGGGGTAGGTGATCATTCTGATGGGGATCGGATTCCCCTGACTGAGATTAGAGTCGACAAGAAGTTTACCCAAACTACGAGCTGAGGAGGTTTGTCCTTTGTATTATACTTATAGTACAGTTTCAATTAGTGTCATAAGATGTGCCATGCTTTAGTTGCCTTCTGGCAAGCCACTGGGATATTGAGCTTAAAATATGCATCGATGTACATCGCAGGGGATCGTAGGGTACAAGGTACAGTGGGGCCCTCTATAATCCATAGTAGAATCAGGCCGCTACGTACATTTTATCGATTACTTAGGAGCATTTCACTCCATACTACTACGTACATCGTCAAAAAATCACCATTGAACTGTCGTTGCAGCGCTATATACAATCAGAGGCACGTGATGGTACGTACTAATGGAAGTCGCTTACTCAGGTTGCTCAGCGCCCCAGTGGTTTCACGGAGCAACAATGAGCAAGGCAGCTTTACTGCATTGATATATTTGGGGTTTCCATCAAATACAAGCCACACATGGCTATTAGATAAGAATTGTTATTTCGAGAGCTCTTTGCGACGTAATTAAGGTAAATGAGTGGCCGGATCTACTAGTTGACAGATGCTAGCAACAAATGATCACCATCTTTAAATTGAGAAAAAAATACAGAAAGCAAGATCAACACGATCATCTGCGAACAGCAGACCAATTAAACCAGTCTCAAGCTAACAGCTTTGACATAGAAATCCCAGGTGACCCCGCAGAGCCCTAATCAGCCCCGCGATAATTATTAGACCCAACCGCCCAAATTTTTTCCCTACATACTACTCCCCTCCAACCCACCCCTAGCCAGCCCACGACCCTCACAATGTCCAAACAACTCTCTGTCATCCTCGGCACAACCTTAACCCTCATCGGCCAATTCCAGACAGCCCTCACCACACCCCCAACTACCGCAAGCGATACCGCAAAAGATGTCGAGGCCTTGCCCCTCCTAACGATCTCGTCGAGCGCGCTCAAAGCACAAACCACGAAACTCTCCCTGTTGGCCATTACCTCTCCCTTCACGCATTCTGCTGTCGCCACTGTGCTCCGCGAGCTTAATGAGTCTGTGCTACCGTCGATTGTGACCGCTTCCCTTCTCGTTACACCGGCGCAATACACCAAGGCATTTCATTCCGAGATCTTGGCTCTTGTCAAGACAACTTTGACAGAGCTTTCGGCGCTGATTCGGGAGGTTAAGTGTGTCGGGGAAAAGAAAGATCAGGAGAAGAAGGATACAGGGAAGGAGAGCGATGTGACAAAATCCGAGAAGGATGCCGTGATGCTTGCTACGGGCCGTGTCTGGGATGCGTGTGATGCTATGACCGATGTTTCGAGTAAGGGGGTCGTTGGATTTGTCATGCGCCGCGTTGAGCAGTGGAGGGATCTTGTTCGCGACGCGGTTGAGGAAATCGAGGATTGGGATCCAGAAGAAGAGGACGATGGGTTCTTCGATGATGTTCTCGGTGATGAGGAGAAGGGTGGAAGTGACGATGAGGACGATGACGAGGATGATGAGGAAGAGACGGCTGCCCTCCATGAACACAAGAAATCTACTCTTCGTTTGCTCAAGCCTATTGCTCAGGTCTACCCAGCTATCATCAACAACCGGTTGAAGAATGCCGGAAATACGCCGTTGGCTTCTTCGTCTGGTGTCAAGAAGCTGGAGTCATTGATGCTGAATCTGCAAGCGATTCCGGACGATGTCGATGAGGCAGCCGGCGCGTTGTACGAGGCTAATTTTGAAACCTGTGCTGGGTATCTACGGAAGACGAGGAAGTGTGCCACACAAGCGGTGGAATTGGTCGCGTCGCCCTGGGATGCTACGGAATCTAAGGACGATGCACCTACAGACAAGTTCGCTACATGGTCGAAGACGTGGCTCAAGGTGATTGGCGAGGTCAGCAAGTCAATTGAGAACTGAATGTAATTATCTGTCACGAAGCTGCGAAGAAGCTGATGATGAGATGATACAAGCCCGAGAAACCCATAGACAGCAATTATTATGTATATATACATAGAACAAACATGGTAATATTATTCATGCCTTCCTAAATCATGACCTCCATCTAGATCTCATGTCTCAAAACTCTTCCTCGGGAGCTTCGTGTTCCCGCTCCCATTCGGGAAGATCACCAATGGGAATCCGCTCTCGCAGGAATTCCAAGATCGCATCGGTTCCTTTGGCAACTACTTGCCAGCGAGGTACTCGGAATCGATTACCAGCCACCTCAAAACGTCTTAAGGCTGATCCATTGCCCCAGTTCTGAGGAGAGCGTCCAGCAGCCAGCAGGCCAATCTTTGGAGGAAGTGAATCAAGGTCATTGTTGCTTAGCTCCAAGACTTGCAATCCTTGTACGGCTTCGAAGTCCAGACTAGCGATCTGGTTGTCAGATGCTACAAGGGTCTTGAGCTCCGGATAGGTCTGTCTCAGATGAGGGAGTGGTCCCTTCAAACGATTGTGCGATACATCCAAGAGGGTCAAAGATGGGGCGATCAAGTTGGACAAAAGTGGCTCCCACGACGTCAAGCTAGCCGCGTTCAAGGTCAGGGTTTGAAGCTTTGGCAACTCAAGCCGGGAAGTCAAAAAGTCAGCGCCACTCAAGGGATTGTGTGAGAGATCAAGCTCAACCAGACATTGTGCGAGCATTCCAATCGCGGGGGCCGGGATACAGCTCAGCTCATTGTGTTGCAGATAGAGACATCGAATGTCTAGCAATGGAATCATTTCCAGCTGTTCCACCTTAAGGTCGGTCATTTCGGCATAAGACTTGTCAAGAGTCCCACCGGATTTAATCTGCCAGCTGCCATCGAGCACGGGATTCTCGGGCGCTAAAGTGAATTGCGTGGCCACGGAGCCCTCGTCATCTGTGTCCTGGGGGTCAGGCTCACAGCGGCTCCGCAAGTCTCGTTTGATATCATCGGTGTCCATCGTCAGCAGCCTGCGCTCACGAAGTGGGTTGTTGGAAATCCGGAGAGACGCAAGGTTTTCCATTAATCCAATCTTCTCACCCAAGTGTGTGAGGGCATTTCCTGTGAAATCAGCCTTTTTGAGGCTCTTAAGCTCCACAAACCCTTGTGGAAGCTCTGCAATTTTGTTTTCCTCGGCAGACAGCGTTAATAGTGACTGCCAAGAAGTCATGCATGGGAGATGCGTGATGCGATTCACACCGATCAGGAGAGTATGTAAATTAGGAAGTTCAAGCGCGTCATCGGCTGAGAAGACCACCACGGCGTTATTGGCAATATTCAGGGACTGCAATTTCTCCAACTTGTTCACAGTTGTCGGTATTAAAGTCCCTTCCAATCTGTTTTTCTGCGCATTGAGCGTTTTCAAGGGAAGTTTGCTGAGGACCTCGAACGGCAAAGAAGTGAACTTGTTCTCACTGACATCCAATGTTCTCAGAGAACTCAATCCAACGAGCTCATCTGGGAGCTTGGTGAGAGCATTGCCACGCAGGTCCAAAAATTCCAAGTTAGGAAGACGACCAATGACGGCAGTCAGTTCCCCTTGCAGTTGATTATTCGCAAGTTTCAGATCTGTCAGAGACTTTATCTCCGTGATTATTTCGATATTGCCCATCTCCAAAGAATTATTCGACAGGTTGAGAGTGCGTAAGTTTTGAAGACGTCGAAGACCCATCGGAAGTGATTTGAGTATATTCCCGTGGAGATCCAACGTTTCGAGGCCCCCAAATTGAAGTTCTCGGTCATCGCTATCAGGATCGAACTCCTCGGGGTTGATATCGGGGAAAGTGGCATCTGAGATCTGTTCCAGCTCATTGTCCGCAGCATTAAACTTGACAAGATCAACATTTTCGAACCAGTTCGCGGAGTTCTCTGGGTCATAGTCATACATCGTCAGCACTTCTTTTGGGATCTCCTTTAAAGAAAACGCCGCGATGTTCAACTGGCCGGTGGCACGTGCTGTCTGTACGCGCTTCCGCATGACCAAAGAGTTGGATCCATTGGGTACTTGGCTGAAAGGATCGTCGTCATCGGCGCCTACCCACGAATCGAGAGGCGCATCGATGGGCGGGGCCTGGTAAACTTGCTTTTGAGGGCTTTCCTTTTTCTCTCCAGCCGCCATCGCTTTCCGGGCAGCCTTTGCCTTTGCAATGGTTTCACGTAGCGTACTGGACGACTTGGAGACTTTTCTAGCTTCAAGTTCTGCCTGTTGCTCCGGAGACAGGTCATCAGGCATGTTGGAAGAAGCAGACACATATCTTGAACCCGTCGCGGGAGAAAGTGAAGTAGACACCTGCGCTGTTTGGGGTTTTCTTGTTTTCTTCACTTGGAGTGGTCTTTCTGGGGGACCCATGTTTGACTTAGCAGGCTTTGTGGGGGCCTTGCTAAGTGATGGGCGGATAAGGGAGGGTTTTGATGTATCCTTGTTCCCAATCGGTCTTTCGGGTATATTTTTCTTGAGCGGCGAACTGATGTCCGTGTGAACACCGTCTCCTGGTGCAACACCGTGTCTAGGTGACGGCCGCTTCAATCTTGATGGGCTCACACTATCCTCCGAGCCGCGGACTGGAGAAAGAGATCCAGCAGTCGACATACGAGCCTTCGAGGGAAGACGCAGCTTCGAGACAGGTTGTACACATAGCTCGTTGCTAAGCGGTGCACAAGATGACGTCCCCGATGGTGATCTCGAAACACTGGACACATTGGACGGGGCGCGAGACGGAGATCGTACTGGGCTACCGCCATTGAAAAAGCTGGACTGCCTTCTCACCGAAGCCGGTGATGGTGGAATTTGCGCTAGTGTCTCAAGTGTACGCTCGGACAAAGATGGGCGTACTCCACGGCGACCGCGTGCTTCTTGGGCCGATGCGATTGATGCAGTATCATCATCTCCAGCAGTCGAGCTCGCCTCCTCTGGACTATGTGTGTTGTTTTCCCTGCTCTGGATATCGTCTTGCTTGAGGGCCGAGATAGGATCATCCTGCGGCTTAGGTGGCGATAAATGCTGCGAGGACGGTTTTTTCACAAGCGTGTTGTAAGATGGTCTTCGCAACCTCTTTTCGTCCAGGCCAGGATCCGTTCGCAGTCTGTCTCGGGAAGGTGATGGTTTGATCGATTTTGGTGCGGTGGCTGTGGGTAAAGGCAATCTTGAAGTAAGTCGTGGGATGCCACTTGTAGGACGTGGTATACCACTCGCAGGGCGTGTCGATGTCTTGGGCTGTCCTTCCATATTGGCCCTCCAGTTATCGATGTTGGTCTTCGGTCAGGGAGAAAGTCGCACGTCACGAAATTCGGACGATCATGTCCGATGGTAAGGAGCGGCACAAAGAATGTGGAGGGCGGGGAAAATTCGCAGTGGCAGTTTTAGCCCTGTCAAAATCGTGATCTTTGGCTCAAAAGAATAAAGAACCAGAGGTCTAGAAATGTCTCGGAATCGGATTGTTTACATTTCTAAGGTCTCACAATCCCGCGATCGTTGCCTCAGGCATCGATCGATTTAGTCCGATCCATGAAATATCTTGGATCAAGCAAATATAAAACAAATCTTGCATCATCCTATGTTGTCTATTGCTATAAGTATATTTAAATCTGTATTTGGCTAATATTCAATATGGAATCCATCAATTCATTATGATTTGATATTTGATGGTTGTTCTGGTTTACAGTTAGCCTCTTCCGTCGGATATATACATCAAAGAGAACCGGCACATCACAAACAGATATTCAGCACAACTCATAGCAGTGATCTCAAAGCTCTCCTTTGGGTACGGAGCAGCACGGAACCCAATCACTACCGACATGTGTAGACAGGAGTCAGAAAAGACATGTTTCATCACGTCCACTGTTCAGCTTATAGGATAGGAGCAGATGCCAGTATACTGACCTGGGAGTCTACAGAAAACAATACTAGGAGGAGATAGTTTCATTTTGGGCCTAATTTTTTTGTGATACTCAGTATCCGTTTGATACGTTTGATACATTTGCTATGTTGAAGCCGAAAGATATCAATAGAAATTTCGAAGACTTGGTTTATACTGTTGGCGCCAAAGAGGGCTGGTCGTTTGAACTGCTTCGGGTAGTAAATAAGAAACACCCTGGCTGTTCTGAAGTACTAGATACGTAGTGTTTCTCTCTAGTATTGAACATGAGTAATTCCATTGTTCTGTACGGGGCGATTTTAGTCGAGTTCCATAGATTCAAAGACAATATCTTTCTTTATTTCAATGTTTCTTCCAATGTTATGGAAGAACAGATCCCAAGCATCAGGATCAAGACATCTCCATAATATCATACATCATATAAAGATCTTGAGGCTTATCGGTTGCCTGCCCAACCCCCCAGCGCTTGCCCGGTCGCGGGTGTTTACCTGCCCTGAGCGTCCCGTGATCGGCAGACTAACTCAAATAGGCGTAGTTGGGCCATATAATCACCTCTTATTGGTTCATATTCTTAGATAATTGACCGGGGCTGGGACATGGACTAACCCAAAGCGGGTACCTCAGGACTTCCCCGTTCCCAGCCTCCCAGCCCCTCCCAATAACGCAAGCTGGAGTAACTCTCTTCTTAAGGTCTCGTGGAACTCCATTATTCTCCCTTTTTTCATCCTTCTCCAATCTCTCCAAGCCATTGTCTTCTTATCTTGAAATTCCTAACCCTTGCTCCTGATTCTCTATCTTGGTTTCTGAGGCAACGTACGTGGAGCATCTGTGCGATCGACTGAGCCCAAGACCTGACTGATATCAGTCTCCGGTATGTACATAATTCTTTTGATCCTTAATCCTATGTTCTACGATAAAGATGCTGATAAGAAAATTAGTGCGAGGACTCGTTTCCCCACGGCTAAACCCTCGTGGTCTTATCAAGTGATAAGTTATATCAACACCACTACATAACTACATATCCATCATGTCTCAAAACGCCTCCCAAAGCTCCCTGGGAGCAGCTGCAGAGATTATGCCTTCAACCCCACTCCGCCGGGCTACTTTGTCCCCGTCGCCAGAGCTCAGTGATATGGCAAAGCGCCCATCGTCGCAGAAGTTCCTCTCGCCCCCGCCGTTGTCGTCATCAGATATGACACCTCCACCCTCATCTCAGATCCCAGGGGCCCCCCTTCGTTCTCGCTCACACTCGCGCTCCTTGAGCCCTGCGTTAGTGAAACCAACCGATATGGATAAGTCGTTGTGCGATGCCTACGGCGCCTCTGAGAATCTGCCCACCTTGGAGGAAATCGACAACGCCAGCGAAACCCAACTGCGCACTATTGCCAAGGAGCTTTTAGCCGTAGCGCGAGAGTCACGTATGTCTGCGCTACACTTCAAACTGCAGAACAGCTTGGTCTCTTTCGCTAGTAATGAAGCCGTCAAGCGTGCAGAGGTGGAGCATCAGCTCGCCAAGCGCGAAGTTGAGATTATCCAGAGCGCCGAGTACCGCAGTCGCTCGCGCCCCGCGGAACCCAACACACCCAAGCAACCCCAGTCTGCCCTGAACTCCGATTATCTCTCGGCTGTTCAGCGCTCGCAGGAACTAGAAGAACTCAATACCGTTCTAGACCGAAGACTTCGAAAGGCGAAGCGCGCCATCGATGAAGCTACCAGTCGGTCTATGGACCTTGAGGAGCAGAACCTCATGCTGAAGCGCCGCATTGGCGACAACCGCAAGCACTTTTCCCAGATTTTCAATTACGGCAGCATGTCTCCGGGCACCCAGAATGATATGCACAATATCTGCCATGGTGAACATACAGATGGTCTCGCCGCTCTTCTCTACGCCGATAAACTCACCAACCAGACGCACGCATACGGTACCCACTCTACAACCTCCATCCCCGTCACCCCGAACCATTCGAAGAGCCAGTACCTCACACCAATTGGGCATCCAAGAGAGGAGCACTATGATAGCGACAGCACCGTATCCCTCTCAGCCTCTGACGCTGTGGAAGAGGCTCTGGGCTCCCCGCACCACATGCGCTCCACTGTCCCCAAGAGCAGCACATTGCTTCAGACAAAGTTGTTCGGCCAGGTGCAGAAGCCCGGTGTGGAGCGATCTCGTGCTGGCAAGCGCAAGGCAGCCAGTGACGCGAACGTTGCCGCCGCGAAGAAGTCCAGAACTACGAATGGTATTGGCCTGGGCATCAATGCTTGAGTCCATATCCCCGTGGCTACACGAAGAACGCGTGCTACCAACTTTGATATGATTCATGACCTAGCGTTGCTTTGCTTGTTACGATTATGGGAACCTTACGAATGATGAAGACATGCCAAATGTGGTGTTTTCATTCTAGCGACTGATTTTTTTTGGGAGGGACTTTTTGTGGAACTTTTGTATGAAGAGGCCATGTGACAAGTGATCCATGGCCCTTCACATGTGGCGTTATTAAATTGGGGTTTCAGTATGGGAATTATGGCTATCTGTTGTGCGCCAATTAGTCCTCGCGGATTTTTGACGGAAAGCCAACAGGCTATGCAGCTATAGATGGGATTTTGGGATATGAAATTGGGATAGTACAAGCATGTACAATAGGAATAGAGTATTCAGCAACGAATTACAAGAAAGCAATATATGAAAATGTATAGGACCAATAGAATCCATGTATTTCAAGCATTAGAACATCAATTCCAAGGGTTGATATCATAGAAGAGCATAAAATACAAGAATAAAAAAATAAAAAATAACTCTGGCAGATTACCGAATCCGGCTTGGTTAGGGCTCGCTAAGCGAGGCGGTGTGCCAGTCAGCGGGCGGCCACACGAAAAATGGGAACTTCATTTTCTGCCGTGAAGGAGGATTTGACCAGCAACCCTCGACGACCACCACCCGGCTCGATCCCCATCCGTCACCATGGTGCGTTCCCTATCCCTGCTTGGAAGATACATTGAAGGATTCGACTTGTGCGATTCAGAGAAATCAACGGATTGAAATACGCCTCGAAAAAGAACGAAATGACTGACCGATTGTGTGTGGGATATATAGGCGATCAAGCACAACAACCAGATTCAGAAGAACCGTGAGTGACCCGTCGCTTTTCACCTCTTATGTGGTCGCTTCAAACCGACAGAAAGACATTGGGGAAATCAGACGTGAAGGAACAGTGATTAACGAATTCTTGATTAGACTTCCACAAGGACTGGCAGCGTCGTGTCCGTGTGCACTTCGACCAGGTACGACTCTCAACCTCCCTCCCCCCCGACTGGAGAAATTTTCTATTCCGAACGATATCGCAAGCAACTTGGAATCGATGGAAAATTTTCTTTGCAGGAAATGAATTTGGCCGACTAACATGAATCGCACAGCCCGGCCGGAAGCACCGTCGTCGTGAGGCCCGCATCGCTAAGGCGGCTGCTGTTGCTCCCCGTCCGGTCGACAAGCTGCGTCCCGTTGTCCGATGCCCTACCATCAAGTACAACCGCCGTGTCCGTGCCGGTCGTGGTTTCACCCTCGCTGAGCTGAAGGTAAATTGAGCCGCATCGAAAAGTGGAGGCACTATGGAGAAGCAACTTACTGACTCGAACTCTTTTTTTGCGCTTTATAGGAAGCTGGTATCCCCAAGAAGCTTGCTCCCACTGTCGGTATCTCCGTTGACCACCGCCGCACCAACTACTCCAAGGAGTCCCTGGTTGCCAATGTCGCCCGTCTCCAGGACTACAAGGCTCGCCTGATCCTCTTCCCCCGCAAGAGCGGTCAGTTCAAGAAGCTCGACTCCTCCGCTGAGGAAGTCAAGGCCGTCAAGGCCACCGTCGCTGAGGGCAAGCGTGACGGCATCGCCACCCGTGTCGAGGCCACCTTCCCCATCACCAACCCCACCGCTGCTGAGGCCGTCACCGAGGTCAAGCGCGACTCGCTCCCCAAGGGTGAGGAGGCTGCTTACCGTCGTCTCCGTGACGCCCGCGCTGAGGCCCGCTACAAGGGTATGCGCGAGAAGCGTGCCAGAACCAAGGCTGAAGATGAGGCCAATGCCAAGAAATAAATGTGTTAATTCCCTCCTCGTGCTGATGATGATGATCGGGTCGGTTTTCGAATCGGGGATTAGTGTACTGTGGCATGGCGTTGCGCCTCTTCCTTGATTCCCTCTCTCCCTCCCCAACTTTTACTCCTTTTTGTCTCTAAAAGAAAGAACTCGGAAGATCTCTCGAAATTCAAAACCGCCCAATTTTCTCAATCTCGTCATACTCTTTGTGGCTGTTCAGCTGGTAGTCCAGGTCTTGTATCTTGGGCATCCAGCGAGGACAACCATTGAAAGATTATTGTAGATCATTTAGTTGTATACTTTGTAGCTTTGCTATGGATATAGGTTGTCTTAGTTACATGGGAATGGTAACATTTTCATGTATCTTATGTATATGAACACAGCAATATAATGACTACGATTACACAGCTACCAACCAGCTCATTTATGAAGACACAAAAATGTTATCTTTAGGCAACACTCCTTTAATAGAAATAAATTAAAACTTGTCTGAGCTCTGCTCGGGTATCTTCAGAGAACTACGCTAAATCACCGCTCCAATGTCTACTGACAATTGCACCGGAATACCAAAAAAAGAATCAAAGACCACCGAACAAAGCACCAAGAGCACCTTCAGTCGCCCTTAACACCGCATCGACATGGATATTATCCTCCACACCTCGAATGCCCAAAGCGCCATCCTCACGTAGCAATGCATAGAAAAGCTTCTTTGTCTCCTGGTCGATTTTCTTATCCACCCCAGGGATCGACACGCTGATCTCGGGCCGTAGCTGAGGCTCTCCGGTCCATTCATCCAACACCAAAGTATTTGACAAAAGCACTCGGGGACTGGAGTTTGAAGATTTAGGTTTGATGACCATGGAATTCCGATCCAAATGCGGGACCAATCGTCGCAGTTCAGAAAGTGTGATAACGCCATGCTTGCTTTCCAAGACAGTATCCTTTCTGCCCTGTGAGGCCCGCGCACCGTATTTATGGTCGATGTGTGCCCATAAACGAGCGCGAGTGATTGCAGATTCCCAATACCGGTTGATTCCCCAGCATAGACTTGCCACGTCGAGTTTCAAGAGACGGTTCTCTAAGCGGGAATCAATCCATCGGCGGAGAGCTTCGGGGATTTTTCTTTTCTTGCTGTCGCTGCCAGTAGGCACTGACAGGGAGGTCAAGGCCTGGGTCTCGGGGTTTGTCTCGTAGACAACAGTCACATTGTATAGACTGGCTGGGAATGGAGATGGGGGAGAAAATATCAGTGTGTGTGTTTCTGACAGCTCCTCCCCACGCGACGACCAAGTTGTGCGGGTTTTGAGGGTCAAGGGTGCAAAGGCTGTTAGGTATGGCAGTGACTGAGAGGCTTCTTGCAGGGCAAATGGATTTGTTGGCAGCGATGATAATTCACGTTTTGGGCGAGGAATATTGGCAGAGAACGGGAGTAAAGTGGCGAGGAGGGATGATATTGATTTGGGAGCTGTCTGGGGTATTGGGAGACTTGTACGGTTCGCCTCTTCCGATGTGAGTAAAGACCTAGAGATTGTCAGCAGTGTTCACACCAAAGTGACTTGTAAAACCCACAGAAATTTGTCGAGTCCTCTGTTATCACTTTTTATGTCAGGATTAGACTCGATTTTCTTTGCCCACGTTTCCAGTTCTTCGACTTCGTTTCTCAGCCGTCGCAGATCCGCCGCCCTCTTCTCGCGTGAAATGCGTTTCTCGCGAATAGCCGCTGACACTGCACCCAGGTCTGAAACTGTCTCAAAATATTCCGGTGGAGGGGATTGGAAGTTCACTGCCCTCAATGGGCTTTCGTGTAATGCATTGGTAGTTCGTTTCACTCGTTTCTCCTGTCGCCTACTAGGGCTGCTACTCAACATCCCCCTAGGTCGTTCCGGGGCCTTCTCCAAACCTAGTTGTGTTGGCGTGGGGGGAAGGTCGGGTTCGAGGTTATCTTCATCCATGAAACTAGAGTCCGGACCCATATCCATATCTACTTCTCTTGTGGCGCTGCCCAATTCTATTGCCAACTGACGCTCGGGGGTATTCGATTCCGGGTTTTTTGGCTGTGGCATTGGGGACCCAAACACCAAATCCCCTGGAAGAATCCTCCTTGAAATCCTGCGCGGGGGCTTTGAGAACGCTTGGACGCCACTTGAGCGCCTGTTGGGGGAACTTTCGGGCGCTTCAGAGCCTCGAGGTCGAGTGAGGGGACTTTCGGGGACATTAAGCGAGGGTCGGAGCGCTTTGCGATCGCGCAATCCAAACTTTCGAGGATCTTGTTGCCCACTGTCTTTGTTTACTGGTCGTCGGGCAGGAGATCGGCTGATTGCGCGCTCTAATATATCGGGATGTGATCGTGCGAGACTGGCCCTCGTTGGAGACTGAAAGGAGGGTCGTCTCGACCGATGGAGGCCATTTTGAGAAAGCTTTGGTGCCACAGTAATTCCTGCAGTCTCACTAGTTTTCCGTTTTTTCGCTGGGGAATCCATTGTCGCGTGGGGTGCTTGTCTTGTCCCGGGGCGCATATGCATATGACGGGAAGATAAACAAGTCCACTGTTTGCAGTGTTTGTACTATGACTTAATCTCCCCTCGTTCACAAATGTCCTTGTCTTTCTTCTACTCACGCCATGGAGTGTCTCTCGGCGGGTACAAGATACTCGCTGCGGAGGTCTATACCTCAACTTCGCTCTTTGTCTGGCAGAGCATCTCCATCACTTGCTTCATATCGACAATATGTGCTAGTTCCGACTCCCCGGCGCATGAACGGACACGGCCAATCCAGTCAACCCGGTGCCTATAATACTCCAGCTTCCCTGGAGGAAATTGCGGACTCTACTCAAGCCCACCCTTTGTCGGGATACTATTCATTGATATTGAAATCGAGCTCACCATACGGTGGTGGTGCATCGACATCGCGCCCGACACCCGTTCGGCCCGAAGCCAAACCGACGCCGGCATCTCCCGTCGCACCGCAATCGCCCCAAGAAAAAATGGCGATCGTATTTGGCACCCCTCTCGCTGGCCCAGGCCGAACCTCTCGCTATAATCCTGGAGAAGCTCCTCCGCAGTCAATGTGGAAGACTATCAATGGAGTCCCCATCCCTCCCCAACCCGAGGAACCGGACAATTGCTGCATGAGTGGATGTGTGCACTGTGTCTGGGATGACTTCCGGGATGAAATGGAAGACTGGGCATCCAGGGTTGCAACTGCCAAAGCTAAAGGTGGGCCCGAGAAGGGAACGAAGGACATGCGCACGGCGCCTCGAGCGGAAGTCCGCTCAGCCAGCGGAAGCATGGATGATGATGGCGGTGGCAGCGAGGCTAACTGGACTCTGCCGAGTCAGGATGATGACCTATTTGCGAATGTCCCGGTTGGTATCCGGGAGTTCATGAAAACGGAGAAAAGGTTGCGAGCGAAACAGCAAAAGGATGCGACAGTGTGAGCTCATCGGACCGTTTTTTTCTTGCTTGTTGAATTTTATACCCCGTGTTATACTACATTAGAAGAAATTGGGGAATCTGTGTCTAGAGCGCATCAGACATAGTGCATAGTATAGAGATAGACTGTACATAAGACCTTCAAATGATGCCACAACGTTTTTTTATCCTGTTCAAGAAGATACCAGTAGGAATTGTTGTAATTTGTAAGTCGATGTACTTGGTGTAATTCTTATACGATCCTTATGGATTATTATTTTGATATCTGCTGTATCTCGGTTTGTGCTGAGGCCAGAGCCGAGTGTTCTCTACTTTATTTAATCCATCACCTTCACTCGAGTCTGCACCTGGAAGTCACCGGGATGCAATTGATAAAAATCTCATGCGTCGAACCGTCATTTCCACAACCCGACTGACTTGGTCATATTTGCTTCTATCTTTGTCATTTTCTGGGCCCCAAGGCTACTCCACTACTCTGTGCCATGCACACGCCTACGGACTTCCTTCGCTAGGGTCGTCAACCATCAATTTCACGACTAGAATATGAGGACCTGTGGGATTGACGCCGAAAATGACCGCTTTTGAGGCCAGAAACGGCTGCCTTTCCACCCATAACTTTAGATGTCCAGCCGCCTCTCGTTCCGATATATCCTGACTTCTATCCAGCTCCACTGCATTGAATGTACCCTTGTTCTGGCCTAATAACAGAAGTCCTATACCAGACCTCCTCCTCCTGGTACGATTGCCGTTATCGTCGATATATCCGTATCTGGTGGAGCCATAAAAGTCGGAGGAAAATCGGATAATGACCTCGGTGTTGCCGCTGTAGGTAAAGTCGGAACAGAGGACGCGGATATACCCTATTGATAGTACCGTGGAATGTTAACTGGCGGTTCTATTCGATCGGGGTGCTGGGATACAGTATATGGCGAGGATGTCGTGATCATTCATATGATCTAGCGTCGCCGGGTACTGAAATAAAATGATATTTTATCTGTAAACGGCGGACCTGCGAATTGCCTTTTGGGGTTTACTGCCCTAATACGCTGTTTTGTAACCTCTCCCAAGGTCCGGCGTCACAGAATGGCTCTCGGTTGCGAATACCATGGCGCACAGTCGTCATCGTTGGTCTCTCCGGTTCCCTCTACACCCAGTCGATAAATATTCGAAAGCATAGCCTGGTGATATAGGCCAATAGCGAAAATACCGCACACGCCCCTAACCTCGGTCGGTGCATCTTGCGGCCAATGCTAGACAGCGACTGCGAAACCATATCATGATCATACCATCACTTCTGTAATGGAGAAATGGTCTAGAATAGGCTAACGACTAGTGTGGGCATGCATCGCAAGGGCCATCGAGTGCAGCGGGAATCCTTACCGGTGAACTATAGCCCGTGGTTGTTAGCTGTGAAAACTGGCATGGTCTGGCTTCCTTGGGTGCAATGGCCTGGATTTTAGGATCTGGTCGAGATATTCTGCGCCTAATAGAAGGAGGATTCCAATAATGGGCTTGTATCGTACCTTCCGATCGTTCGGAGCACAACCTCAAGAAGCGATTTGAGAAAACCCAATACCGGCTGTGATGGCAATAACGACGAGAATCCAATGAACTGGAAATCTGGTGGCACCTACGCCAACGGTCCATTCACGTATAACATCGCCCCCGTTCGGACTAACCGGCCATTCCCCGTGCCCAAAACGCCCTCGGCTAAATGCACGGGTGTTAACCACTACCTTTGGCATCGTTACAACATTCAGGGTGCCGGGTGGGCCACTTGGGACAAGGGTCAGAAGACACTCCGGGGTAATAGCACACGCTGCTTCGGCCTAGGACTGACAGGTTGGTGGTTTGAATACTTTGATGAACCTGACTCCAATGGTTATGAGTGGCTGGCCAAGTTCAACTCGCCGATTGCGACTGAGGCACGATGTTATTCAAACAACAAAGTCCAAAAGTGGTCCGGGGGTCCATCAGATGACGGGTGCCACTGATGTACGATAGACAATATATTTAGGACCAGCCCTGAAGGAGCTTGCATAGTTTTCTTGATGTTATATATATAACTCTATATTGAGACAACCTTGGAAGTGTCTACATCTACCAAACATAAAGATGTGTGTTTACTCGAAATGAAGCCTCCTCTACTCTGCGCCGGGGACTAGTCCAGTCGAGCTTACCGCAGTTCTCAAGAAACATACACACAATCTGCTCTACTACCATGCCACTTCGGTCTACCCGCAAACTATGACTACCAGGTCTTATCATTGCTGGCAGTCAGTCTGGACTCAAACGACACCGACTAACAACGAGTGCTCATTATTCCACAAAATGATTATCTCTGTTTGACTCAGTTGTCAACAAACCGCACAGCAAACCCGGCAATTGAACAAATTATCAGGCGCTTGGAACAGCCCAAATCGTCCCTACAGACAGTTCATTGTATTACCAGATGGACGCATAGGACACACATATTTATATTTATGACAATAAATTTAAACACAGTTTGAGAAGATATGAGCCATTAGCGGACTTTATATGGTAGGGCGATTGTTTAATATGGACAACGTAGGCTGTGGCTCTTAACACAACATTTTGTGCTGTTATATAAAATCTGATATCGGTGTATTTCATGTGCAGAATTCATATTTTAATTCATATTTTAATGTCTGCATAAAAGAGCTAGCTATGCATATAGTCAGCCTATGTACAGCGTACGTACTACATGCAGTAGCTTGGAACTAGCTCGTCCAATAACGTATAAATTATGACATTTCAACGGTTGATTCTTGTTGAAAATGTCTGAACTATATATCTCTTGTAAGTATCTAGGTGAATATTGAGTCGCAATTTCTTTAAATGGGAAAAAAATGCTTCTTGGATCAATGTCAAGACTCTCTCAATAGTTATCGATTTTGGTTAAAGTTAGGCTGCGAGGCCATGCACAGATGTCCGGGGCCCCTTGTTAAACGGGAATAATTGCCGTGCAGAGCACGGGGTCTCAATTCATAAATCATAATGAACAGATTTTGAGGTATTATTTTTCTTGTCACACAAGTGAGAGTGACCCCGGGGGGGGGAGGAGGAGTATAAGTATCCTCGGATCTTGTGTATGATAGCCCCAATCATGGCGGTTATTCCTAGCCTTTCGGCGCTTTCGAGCATGCAAGACTTCTCAGATATAGTTCTCACTTTACTGAAGCTGAGCTTGGCATTGGTAAGTGTAAACTGGTCTGTCGGGCTGTCTGAATAGAATTTGACTAACCAAGAACTTACTTCTAAATAGATCCCACTTTATGTCACCGGTCTCTTAGTCTATAATGTCTACTTTCACCCTCTGGCCAAGTATCCAGGACCAAAATCTATGGCAGCCACACGTCTACCTTATATTCGAATGATTCTGAGTGGCCAGTTCCCACAAAAGACAAAAGGACTACATCAACAGTACGGCGATGTAGTTCGCATTGCCCCCGATGAGCTTTCTTTCACAGATGGCGCGGCCTGGAAGGCAATATATGGTACACGGGTCGGCCATGGCCAGAAGTCCAAAGATTATCGATTCTACGCACCAAGCGCTGGAGAAGCTCCCGGCATCATCGTCTCCAATGACGCCGACCATTCTCGCTTTCGACGTTTGCTGTCACACGCATTCTCCGACAGCTCACTGCGCGGTCAGGAACCTATAATCAAGGGCTATATTGATCTTTTGATGCAACGTCTACATGAGAATATCGAGGGTGGAACAAAGGCTGTTGACATGGTGGCCTGGTACAACTTCACGACCTTTGATATTATTGGAGACCTGGCTTTCGGGGAGCCATTTGACTGTCTCAAAAATTCAAACTACCACCAGTGGGTATCCATCATCTTCAGCTCGCTCAAGTATGCCGCCTATACAAATGTGTCTCGGCGCCTTCCAGGATCAAAATACATCCTCCCATACATCGTTCCCAAGCATGTTGCCTCGCAGAGGAGTACACATCTAGCCTTGACCAGGGAAAAGGTCCAGGGTCGGATAAGCAAGTCAAATGAAAGACCCGATTTCTTCGCCAACATCTTGAAGCATCAAAACACCGAGAAAGGATTCAGCGTCCCAGAAATGATCAGCAACGGCAGTACCTTGATCATCGCCGGCTCAGAGACTACTGCGACATTACTTTCTGGAGTGACGTATCTGCTGCTGAGAAACCCACGCGTGCTGGCAAAGCTCCAAGACGAGATCAGATTAGCATTTACTACAGAGAAAGAGATCAGCTTTGATTCATGTAATAAACTGGAGTATTGTCTGGCCGTCCTCACTGAGACTCTTCGAGTGTATCCTCCCGTCGCAGTTGGATTACCTCGCGTTGTTGATGCCCAAGGTGATATGATTGCTGGAAACTGGGTTCCAGGGGGAGTAAGTACAAAACTACTTGTAAAGTCACTCACCATTGCTTACAAGTTTATAGACAGTTGTTTCTGTCTCCCATCTAGCTACCAGTCACTCCCCTACTAACTTTGCCGATCCTGATCAGTTCATCCCAGAGCGTCATTTGGATGACCCTCGCTTTGCAAATGACAGTAAGACTGCAATGCAGCCATTTAGCTTTGGGCCCAGGAACTGCATTGGGCGCAAGTAAGTTCTTAACTTATAATTTTTACTCGATATCTACTCATATATGTTTATCTAGTCTAGCATACGTTGAAATGCGTATAATCCTTGCTCGCATGATCTTCAATTTCGATATGGAATTGGACCAGCCCGAACAAAACTGGATGGATCAAGAATGCTTTGTGCTATGGGACAAGCCAAAGTTGATGATTAAATTAAAGCCGAGAGTTCATTCCCAACGATAGTTGGGAATACCACTGAAATACTGAGGCTACGATTCTCTAAGGGTGATGGGTATTGATATCAGATTGGAGCTCATAGCAATTTGGATTTATGATGGAGCCACACGGAAAGAGGAGATGCTTCGGATATGCTTCAACTTCTTGTTATAGCACTGGAATTAAACAAGCAATCAAATTATCATGGCAAGGTATATATTAGCGGAAGAGTGCTCAAAGCATGTCGATTGAATAGACAAATATGGTTTTAATTGCACAAGTAGATTCCATGCTCGTCGAGGATTTGTCGCCAGTATAAGCGAGTTATCGTCATATATTCATATGCTCTCATCTTTCTTTCATTGATATCTTGTTCATTTAGCACTCATATTGACATTATTCCGTCCTGCCCTTATCTCAATCGGTCTCATCTATGTACAACATAGTTCATCTGAACTTCGAACATTCAAGAAAATCGACATATATATAGCATAAGTTGCTTTGTATACAAAGGTCTATATCTTAGTATGTATTAATTAACATCAAAACATCTCTCGATGAGTCCAACTTACTCAACATTGGTCACACTGCATCAATTTATCAGTCGCCTCTCACCGCCTCGGCCATATGGGCAGAAAAAAAAGGCACCGCAGATCCCAACCGCAAAGACCGACTCGAATCTGCCAATAACTCGACATTGAGCACAAAGAAACCAACATGTCGCTCTCTAAAAGCGAGTCCGACGTAATTCTCAACCGGGCCAATGTTGCCCTATCCCGCAGCCAACGGCTCGTAGCCTCATGGCTACCGCAGCAAACAGCAGAAGAGCTAGCAAACCCCAAAACCGACGAAGAGCTCCAACGAGAAGAAGATGAAATCTTCACCGCAGTGCCAGAGACGTAAGTCTTGTTCCAGCCTTTCACCTACACCCTAAGAATGCATGAACTAACGAATTCATAGCCTTGGCGTCGGAGCCCCTCTCCCCCAGAAAGCAGCAGACGGAAGCTGGAACCGCACAGAGCTGGACTCAAATGATAAACTGCGCAAACAACTCCTTGGCAAGAACTACGATCGCGTTATGAAGGCCGCTGCCGAGCAAAAGGCCGCGGCTGCTGCTTCTATGGCCGCGGCTGCATCTGCTTCAGCTAGTGTGGCGAAAGCTGAGGTCGAGGAAGAATATGATGAAGAGGATGGTCGGTCGGCTATGCTTGCTAGACAGAAGAATAAGAGGAATGGTGGGGCCGGGGCGGGTCGTGGTGTGCATCCTGCGGCTGCGGCTGCTGAGGCCGGAGATAAAGGTGGTGAGGGTGAGGGTGCGCCGGCTCAGCAGGCTCCTGCTCGCTCCAAGGGCAGGAAGAAGGCGACGAGTTATCTTGATGAGCTTTTGGCTGAGCGTGCGAAGAAGAGAAAGAAGAAGTGAGGATTTGCGGTTGATAAGTTCGATCCATGTTTGCACGCACACGAGCGTTGCACAGACTTTCATTGGCTCTGGGTTCTCTTGGATAGATTATGCTTTGATCTTGGTCGCTCTGGATGCGCCGGACACGGCGATCGAGCCGTAGATCCAGGTGCTTTGGGGTTGGACCCATGCCGGCCAGAGCAGGCTTGCCTGCCTACTAGGGCCTCACTCTGCCAACGGCATAGACTACAGCGCAATGTCTGCCCCTCGACTCGACACGACCAGGGAAGACTGCATGCATACTCTAATGGCAACTCGGCTGAGTTGCCCTGTGCCATGTGCCACTCCAACAAAATACCAAGACCAAACGGTCTGCAGAGAAAAAACATCTTTCCAATTGATATAATCAAACTGCAAATATAAAATACAATCCAATTTCAGTCTCTTGCTCTAGGTGCCACAAGATTCAATGTTTTTGTTGCTCCGCCTAACCCAAGGGTATATGATATGATGTGTGTGAACGAAGTATTGGTACCCGGAGAGCCGTGGGCCAGTCGCCAAGATTGGCGTGCCTTCGCCAAAATTAAATATCCAAAAATAGAAAATGGAAAAGATGAAAGGTGAAGGAGAAGAAATGGGGGAAGGGACATCTACAGGCGCAATTAAAAAAAAAAAAAAAAAAAAGAGATCAGAGCTGCGGACATTCTTCGGATGTCTGGAGATGAGTGTCCTTTGCTCTGGCCAATGGTACATATGCAGGTCAAAAGAGCCGGAGAAGAAGAGGGGGGTGTCAGGGTTTATCGGAGGTATAGGGACTTGATGGGAGACAGAGAATGTAGTGCCAACATCAGTGGAAGGTGGATGCCGGGAATGTTCCAAAATTTAGGAGTTATTCCAATCGTTTCCGCTTACGGTCTTCTGCCATCGCCTGCTGGTCCTCGTCGGGCCTTTCGGCAGTATCGGCAGGATTGAGCAATGAATGCACGTTGCTTGCCATGCTCGAGCGACGGGTTGCGGGTAATGAAGAGCCGTGAGGGAACCTTGAGCCGCCAAGTGTCCAGCCGTTGTCGACACCGAGCATGGACGGTGAGGGTTCGGCGGTCGGTGGAGTGGCATGGCGGGATTGTTCTTGAAGGCGACGGGGGGCACCCATTTCGTATTGGGCGAGGACATCACGAACCTGCTGGTCACTGGAGACTGGGGTTTGGTGCCCTGGTGATGAAGGCCAAGGGCCGTTTGGAGGATTGCCAGGGGGGTAGGGGGAGCCAGCCGATGGGGACCAGCCGTGCTGTCGGATGTCTGCAGATGTATGACGACGGGCCAAGTTAGGCCCTGGGGATGTTGAGACGGAGAGAGGATGAGGCACCGGTTGCTGTGGGGGCGGCGCAACGGGAGGCTGGGGGCGAGCGTATGTCGAGGCAGAATTGGCGCCGCCAATCGAGCCGTAGCGGCGAGGGGATACTGAGAGATGGGGGGGGAACGGGCGGCCGAATCATGTTGGTTGGTCGAGGGGTATGGTCCATCATGGACTGCCGACGGGCATCGTCTTGGGGCATTTGGCGCGGGGACAAAGGTGGGCCAGCTTCAGCCATGCTGGCTAAGTACTGTTGCCGTGGAGGCATGAGAGTCTCGTGAGGGGTTTCGATGGCGCGCATAATTTCAATATGCTTCTCAACTTCCCTTTGCATGCTCGAGACTAGGGAGTATCAGTGCATGACACCATGAGTGAAGCGGCAATATTGACATACCATCGCGATGCAGAGGGCTTTCCCTATCGGGCACAACAGCTTGAAGAAACCGTGAAATAGAATGCGTCCACTGAGATCAGATTAGCACCAATAGACCCGCACTGGCAAAGACGGCGGACATACTTGGTAGCACTTTGTCAGGCTTTCAGTCATAGCATGGCATCTCGAGTTCAGTACGATATTGCCCTCTTCCGCCCGAACCAGACGACCATGCATCTCGTAGAGGCTGCTCTCAATGTTCAGGAATCTAGCATCGGTCGCGTCAGGTGCGGGTTCAGCAGGTGTTCCAGGCTGCGAAGCAGGAGCCTTGTGGCCAGGGAATGAATCGCGGTGGATCAAAGCATGTCTCGAAGCACGGCGCTTGATCTCTCGTAGACCAGCTAAATCGCCTCTTTTGAAGTTCCCATTGCCATGTTTAAATTCCCAGAGCGCAGAGTCTGGGGATCCGGTGTGAAAGACGTCGCTCACTAGCAGAATCAAGAATAGTCAGAAACCACCCAATTAAAGCTAGCATGCGAGACACCCACCTTTGTGAAATCCATACATATTCAGCTGCCGAACGAAGGAGGAGATATTGGTATGTTTGAAGTACGATCTGCGAGGGTCAGAGACGAGTTTATTGGCAGAGAGGATAGCACCCACGCTAGGACTTTGGAGAATTCCGACGTTGGCGACATGACGAAGCTATCGTTTGTACCGGACCACGAGATGAGATGCTGGATGCTGGGGTCTTCTAGCATACTGCCAAAGAAATGTAAGCTCATGGAGACAAAAACGCGAAGACCCAAAACATACTTGTAAAGTTTGTGAATGAAAGCAGTCTGGACGACTTTTGGCTGCTGGGCTGCGGCCGCAGCGCCAATAGCGGGATTTGGAGCATTCAAAGCATTGCTTCCAGCTTCGCCATTGGTGATCCCGACCATTCGGTCTTCGCCTTGCGCGCCCGTGGGCGGAGGGGTGATATCCATCGAATGCTGACCAGACGACGAAAGTACAGGAATGTTTCGCGTCCTACCGGGGGCGTCTGGTAGCCCGGCAAATGAAATCCTAGTCGAAGGAGGGTCGGCAAGACGACTCATGTCGGAGGGGGGTGGGTATTTATGTAGACACAAAATGGTGGATGCGACGGGATCGTGAGGGGTGGAATTCGGACGCGATGGACCGTTTATGCTCGTGCCGAAAGAACGTGGGAGATCAACCAATAATCAACACTTCTGTCATCGCGCAAAAATCGGGTTATTTCGAAGAGAATAAAAATGGTGATAGAAGGAAAAGAAGAAAAAAAGAAAGTCTCGAAGTGTCTGGAAGGTTTAGAGGGCTCTGCGGGGAAGGGGGCTAGAAATGCGTTGACAGTCGGATCTGCAGAAATATAAGGAAGTTATACAGGGATGAAAGAAAAGACCAATTGGATGTATTTGGGTGTCTAAATATTATATGGTTATTTGGTAAAAAGGGGTGAAATGGCTACTTTAATTGCCTAACCTCTATATATGGACCCTCTTATAGCCCTATTGGATTCTGCCAATTTCAATTTAAGCAATATATCACTATATATCAAAATATAAAGAAGCTTGAGGCATTTAACTCTTTCGGCAATATGTCTCGTAGTTAAAAGGGCTAGACATAGTTCTACCTCCACGCTCCGTAACACTATGTACTCCGTACTATTATTATATCTTGGATTACCCCTAAATATGATAACACATTAACCTAATAACCACTAGCTCTGAATCGGACAAAAGAATTAGCGAAATTTGTATTGATCATTCTTTTCTTTGATGTTTTTTTAACTTCACATAGCCTTCTAATCCTTGTCGGGGTATCTACATATACGATAATACTTGACAAAGAGCTTGTACTGACTGCAATCGTCCGCTAGTGTCCAGGTTTGACAGGGATGGCATAGAGTAGTTGATATGGTCATTTCTTCAATTCCCATTTTTTACTTTGTTTTTATTTTATCAGGTATATGAAGAAAGTATGGGTGCCTAATAAATACAATTGGACACTCAGTAAACACCGGGCTCGACCTTGATTCACAAATTCTTCACCTTGACTAATTAGCTACTGTCGAATCACCAAGTTGCAATCCTCATATCAGTGGCACCAGAGGGTAGCCATGTCTCATCAAAACACCAGATCCAGATTTTGTCATCCGAAGGGAATATAACGAAGTCTCCATCGCCCAAAACCGAGGTGCAGGGCCGATTTTTCGGGAAATCTATTGTGTGTCTGGATTCGAATTGACGCCCCTTAGCGTCAACGACATGCCCGGACACTGGGGACTCATAGCCAATGCACAATTTCATTTTCATTGAGATTTCGTCTTCCTCAAAACAATAAGTCAGACCCGGGCCTCGAGCTGAGTAGTCAAGATTGGCGTGTTGATTCTTGAAATTCAACTCTGCAGAGTGGAAATGCACAGTAATCTGATCATCTGCCTCGAGTGAGAGAGAAATCGTATTAATAGAAGGTTCACCTATGCAATTTACCAGCAAAGCAGAGCTTTGGCCGGGGCGCAGGCTTTCCCTGTATGTTGTCATGTCTTCTGGTTCGCATTGAAGCTCCCATAAATCTTCCATCTGGAAAGGAAGCTCTCGACATTGCTCCCAGGTGCGGATAAACTTATTCTCATGGACAGAGAACTTCTCCATCTTCAAATGATGCTCTTCCACAAACAATGCGCCATCTTTCCAGGGTTGAATATTATCGCTATGTTTTCTGCGGACGGAAACGACAGTGAGGGCATCTTCCTCTGCATGTACTGATAACAAAACAATGAAGGGTCGAAGTTTGATCGAACGGGAGACTCCGGAGTCAAAGCAGAAGTGGACTACGGAGTCCACATAACCCAGCACGACCTTGGACCCGATAGATATGTAATGAGTAAAGTGCAGTGAAGGGATGCGAAAAGACTTGTGCTGTTCTGTGGACATGTTCCAGACATGACAATGCCTGGCGTGTCCAGTCAGAATTGCATTCAACAAAGTGAGATCCCTTTTCTGGCTACATACCCCCGAACAGAAGTCGCTGAGACCAAAGTGTCCGAGACCTCGACATGGGTAAATTCTTCTCGATTTTCTGTGGTGACAGTGCTGTTCTTGCCGCTTGGTAGGTGCACCACAAAGATAGTAGTTCGATCTGTGGATTCTTCAATCCACGCGCATACTCCGTTAAAACAGCTTATGCCGTCTCTGTTCACATCGTCCTTTAAATCGCGAGACAAGTTGTTGGGGATTGTAACCACAACAGCAGGCAGACCCCTTTCCGCTCGAATTCGCTTTTTGATCAATGCATCGAGATCGGCAGGGGAATCGGACTTGATAAAGTTTTTCCCCGTGTGGTATATCATCGCAGTGGTGACGACGATGGTTGAAGAGAGCAATTCATGCCATCGTTTGGAGACCTTTGTAATATAGATGTCAACAGAGGTCACAAATATTCAGATAGATGCTGACATACTCTTCGAAGAAGAATAAGATCTGCTAAATCCAAATACTCTGTTAACATAGCCACCAGTTCCAGAGGCAGTTTATCAAGCAAATCACATTGGAAAGTCATCGATTCCAATCGACTTTTCACTTCACGTATCTCATGAGAACTTAGGCTATCAACAATCTTGTTGATGCTATTTATATTAGCACTCGGAGCTGACTGTGAACAGTGGGCTTGGGACATACACTGCTCGCCGGCTTGAGTTGTCACGGAGAGCCATGAAGCCCTCGAGAATTGGCTTAGTGGGTGAAGCCATGCTAGAGCAGGGAGCAGCTCAAATGGAAGACTGAGGTGCAGGAACTTTTCAAAAAAAAACACTGAATGTGGAATGTGAGAATGTGAATATTTGGTTGAAAAGACAAAGGAAGGTTGTGGTGAGGTCTAAGCAAGGTTGTAGGTGACCCGTACTCAGTAAGCGAGGCTCAACGCCGGAGTCTTCCAACTTTATACAAACCTCCCAACCGTCTTCAAATTCAACATCCAACTTTATTGTCTCCATCGTGAAAGGACTACAGGGATTCACCGTTACCGAACTAACTCCATGTGAAACTTTTAAAGAAGCTGAGAGATCGCGAAGAGACCTCCATATTCCATAATCCTAGGACGCCGTCGATGCTCGGTCAAGCCAATAGTCCTAGCAGTGATGACCGGTGTTTGACTAGCCTCCCCCGGTCTTATGTCGATGAGTCGCTTCCTAGACATTCAGGAAAGCTCAAAGAATAACAGCTGAATCCAAGTCAACGCCACTTGGAGCAAGCAGCCATCTACCCTATATACATGAACTTTACAGGAAGGACTACTTCGTCCTAAAACAATGAGTGATCGATATATCAACTCTTACACATCCCGATTATGAACTGATCTAGGTCATACAAACACCCAAGAATACAGTGATAAAAAGAAAATAAATGACACAGGAACAGGCGCAAAAGCATTACAAATATCTCTCTAAGATGTCACTGCGGCGGTTCGGTTCGGTTCACTGGCCCCAGGAATAAGGCAAATGAAAATGCTCCCTCTCTATCATTATAACCAAAAGAGTAAACACCCTTTAGATGCCGAGGGTGAACTCAACACCGACGTCGATCTCGCGGGCCATCTTGACAACCTTGGAGAACTGGACGGACTTCTCAGCGGCGTTCTGAAGGTCCTCGATGGAGAAGATCTTAAGGCCGGACTCGTTGATCTGGAAAGTAAAGGATGTGGTTAGTTTACATCATAGCGAAAAATGGGGAAATGGGGACTATAATCATACCAGCTTGTGGGCCTGCTCCATGTTGGTACCCTGCAGACGGGCGATGATAGGAGTGCGCAAGTTCATCTCCTGCACAACGTTGATCAAACCCTGGGCAATGGCGTCACAGCGGACGATACCACCGAAGATGTTAACAAAGACGGCAGAGACCTTGGGGTCGCTAGTGATCAGCTCGAAGGCGCTCTTAATGGCAGCGGGGGTGGCACCACCGCCGACATCGAGGAAGTTGGCGGGGCTACCGCCGTTAAGCTTGATGATATCCATGGTGGCCATGGCAAGACCGGCACCGTTGACTAAAATCGAGAATTAGCATTGCAGTATTTTGAAGTATCAAAAGGATCCTTACCAAGGCAGCCGATGTCACCATCGAGCTTGATGAAGTTAAGACCGTGCCTAGAAAAAGATACAAAGTCAGTCAATGTTGTTTTATCTCTTCTTTTCCAGCGAGGCAACCTACTCAGCGGCCTTGACCTCATCGGCATCCTCCTGGGAAACATCGCGCCACGAGAAAGCCTCCTTCTGACGGAACTCGGCGTTGTCATCGAATCCAAGCTTAGCGTCCATAGCCAAAACCTGGTGGTCGGAGGTCTCGGAGAGGGGGTTGATCTCGAGCTGGGTAACATCACGCTCCATGAAGCACTTGTAGAGGTTCTGGATGGTGGTCTTGGCCTCCTCGATGCACTGCTCGGAGAAACCAAGGTCGGTGGCGATGGTGCGGGCAATCTCGTCAGTCACACCGACGTGGATATCAATGGGGGTAGTGGTGATGGCATCGGGGCTATCCTTAGCAACAGCCTCGATATCCATACCGCCCTGGGAGGATGAGACGATGACAGGGCCACGGGTGGTACGGTCAAGGAGGACAGCGAGGTAGAATTCACGGCGGGCGAACTTGCGCTCGCAAATGTAGACTGAGTTGCAGATACGGCCGCCAGCGCCAGTCTGCTTGGTAACGAGCTTGTGACCGATCATCTGGCCAGCAAACATCTTAGCCTCGGTGGGACTGCAACGATATCTATCAGCTTCATCGTTCCCGATATCTTTTCCCAATTTAACTCACGAGTAGATCACACGGACACCACCCTTGAGGCCATTATCGAATTGACCCTTACCACGACCACCGGCGAGAACCTGGGCCTTGATAACAAGATCACCACCACCTGGAATGTACTGTTCAGCAAGCGCGTTCAAAAGGGGAAAATTAGTAGGTTGTTATTACCGATGGACTTGGCAATAGCCTCGGCCTCTTCAGCAGTGTTGGCGACCTCACCCTTGGGGACACCGACACCGTACTAGATTGTTGATCAGCGATCCCAAGTCCCTTTTTTTTTCGAGCGACCGAAGGGGAAATGGGGTGTACGTACTGTCTTGAGGAGTCTTGCGGAGAGGTACTCGTGAATGGAAAGGTTGCGCTTCTGCAAAGCGAGTCTGCTCTGGATGGAAGGTTGCTGTTGTTTATCAAAATCAGCTCAATCACATAAAATTGGAACGAGCGCGGTCCGAATCCAGATATAACTCACTGTCGCAGCCTTGAAAGCCGCCGCAACGGGTCTACCGCGAGCAAGCTTGAACATGATGAATTCGGAGAGGGGAGAGGGGAAATTTGTAGAAGGGCGGAGGTATAAAGCCCGGATAGTTGGTAATTGACCAGGAGAACAGCTTGCCTTTTTCACTTGCTTTCGGGATGACCTTGCGTTGCGGTAAAATCGGGTACCGCAGCCAACCAGCGATCGTTCCCGCTCTGACTCAGCATTGGTTCGGGGACAACGCGAATATAACGGAACATGGCTATTAAAATCGGTACTTCTACTGTTTGGATCTAGATTTTGATTTCTTTTATATTTACATATTGGATTTTACAATTTTCGACCTATATTACCATAAATTATGTTGACTAAACTCGCACCTCAAAACTAACATAATCCCCCCTATTTGCCCGCATTTTTTATCTTCCATAGTTTAAACATTTTAGTCATGAGCCGACCAAACAGACCCGACCAAGCCCAGCCACCCGACAATGTCCAGATCAACCAGCTAGCATGACCCTCCCAAATCCAAGCCTTGCGGCCACGGGCCCACGGCCACAACCAGCGCCATGGAGCTGAGCCATACAATATTTGCGAAACGACACTGCGAGCATACGCGTCATTCGACATAGCGTTGTGCTGGCTATGCTTCACACGCCTAAGATACTCGGCCTCGATAGGGGAATACAAGGAACCCGGCTTCAAAGTACGATCGGTTCGCGCAATACGAGATTGAACACCGCCGGTAACGATAGTTGTGACATGGACGCTATTGATCCTAGTTAGAAAACACAACATAACGATCTTGAATTTTGGGGGCCATATCTAACGAACCCGAATGGAGCCAGCTCCACGCGAAGCGTGTCACTGAATGAATGCAATGCTGCTTTGGAGGCGTTGTAAACAGAGCCGAATACGTATGGGATGATCTAGTCAATGTCAGTAAGATAGGATCTACCATGGAGATATCTCAAAGCTTACCCCAGCGATGGATCCAATCTGCACAATAGTACCTTTCGCCTTGATAAGCAAGGGTAGGAAAGTCTGGCACATAGTAATGACCGCGAAAAAGTTGGTCTCGAATGTTTGGCGAACCTCGCTGAGCTCTACTTCCATCGCGGGGACGGTGTAATCTGCAGCAATCAGTACGTACTTCAAATTATTGACGCCGGAAGCCGTGGGAGTAAAGTTACATACTCCGACCACTGTTGGATATTAGCCAGATGTACCGTCTACGGATAAAACGTCAAAAGATACTCACGCGTTGTTAATGAGATAATCGAGACCCTTGTCTCCGAGCCTCTTTTCGACATCCGCAAAACACGCTTTCACATTATCCAGATCATCGACCGTAAGGCTCAAGGTTTCAATACCGAGGTCTGCCAGATCAGAGATGGTCGCCGCATCGCGAGCGGTAGCCAGTACGCGCAGCCCACTTCGGTTGAACTCGCGCGCAAGGGAGTTTCCGATTCCACCTGGGGAGCATCTACGGTACATGTCAGAAGCTGTTGTTGGTGTCTGTCGCAAGTCGCGTGTAAGCTTACCCCGTGATGAGCACCGATCTGCGAGTATCTATCGCTTCCGACATGTTTGAGGTGGAATGTGATAAACTGCAACAAATTTCTAGATCTGAATGATAGTTATACAATGTAGTAAGACAGCTGGCTACGGCATGTACATCCAGTAAGCAAGTGGAGATCGAGGGGGTACCTCGGTTCTCCCCAGTTCACAGGCTCCAGCACTGAGCCCTAAGCCCTATTGCCTGTTTTGTCTTTATAGTATAAATAGTGGCTTGGGGATATAGAAGGAGGCTGGATTGCATAGTACATATACACCGGATTTTAGGCCGGGCAAGTTGGATTTCCCTTTCCGTTTTAGTGCTCACCCCTTGCCGCTTTTTGCTCACTGAGTAAAGCCGAGCACGCCCCTGTGTATTACGTAATCGTCAAACCCGCTCACTGAGCATCGCATGATTATTACATAAGCTAGATGACTCGCTCACTGAGCGTCACCTGAGCAGCCTGATCCCACTCACTGAGCGTGACCTGAGCATTCTGATTTGCTCATTAAGCAGCCTAATCCCACTCACTGAGCGTGACCTGGTTATTACATAAGCTCAAGGACTTGCTCACTGGGCGTCACCTGAGCAGCCTGAGCAAAGTGGGAGAGCAGCTAAGCCAGCAGGTCACCTCAATAAAATGCACCACGCTAGCCCCATCTAAATGCAGTCGTTCACCCAGCACTCTTAACCGTTATCCCCTCAACGAAAGGCTGGTGTCATTAATTTAGCGGTCGATCCTAGTTATTATGCCTCTACCTAGAAGGCAAATGCACAGCGGGGCCACATTATTAGCTTTACTATTCTGCGCCTATACCACTATTCAACCTCGCCGAGCTCTATATAGTTACGGAAAATATCTAACCCTCTATTTTTGGTTCTACAATATCTAGGAATATCTCAGAAAACCCCAGTTAAATGGTTTATAAATCCAGTTTAGTATTTTATTCTGATTTTTTTTTAGTTGATTTTTTAACGGACTATCACTTATACTACCTACCGCTTACTCCTAGGAATATGACTTTAGCTCTAGCGATAGATATCCGTAAAAATATTCTAAACCTATCGATCATACCTACTAGACTACGCTAAAACCCAAGAATAGGTAAGAGAAGTCGACCCGTAACCCGAACCCGTAAACCTAATGGGTAGACTCGACCAACCCGTAACCCGCCCCATAACCCGTGTGGGTAACCTATGTTATTACGGGACGAAGCCCGATATAAGATGCTTGCTTATGCGGCGCGGATTCTGCTAAACGTTACCGCCTTTAACGGAACATGTATTTATTTATTAGCTCAGGAGAACTTCTCTCCTTAACGAAACCTTCTTATCCTTCAAACCCGCCTAAGTTATTTAACTAGGCCAGTTCCCTAACATAAAACCGCTATAGGTTACTATATTTTATGTATAAATTAGTATTTTTATATACTTCGCTATAGCTTAATTAGGAAAATTATATAGCTATGGGTTTTTATGGGAACCTGTGTGGGTTACCCGCGCGGGTTACGGGGCGGGTTACGGGTTAGTCGAGTCTACCTATCGGGTTTGCGGGTTCGGGTTACGGGTCGACTTCTCTTACCTATTCTCGGGTTTTAGCGTAGTCTACCTAAATCTAGTCTATCCTTTAAAAGTAAGACAGCTACATTTTATTTATGAATCGTTCTAGACGCTAGAAGTTAAACTATAAAATCGATAAGTTAATATTGTAATACCGTCGACGAGGCCTATCGACCTACTTAGGGTTAACCAATTTAGGAGCTCCCGGAATCAATATACCCTAACCAAGACAGGGACAATAAAGACCCATCGCAAAAGCCTCGGTGATACGGAGGATAGGACGTGGATTAGGGTAAGGTACTCGTCTCTCGCGGGAATTCGCTTCTTTACAGCGCTCGATCCACACAGCTTCTATATGCCCACAGCCACTAATGCCGCAGTGGCCGCGGTACCATTTATAACGAATTTTGCATATAATGGGTGATTTTGTTGAAAATGGTAGAGCTCCGGGGTAAATACTTACGATACTAGCCTTAGGTGGAGAAGGCTATTATAAAACACGGGTTTAGAAGAAAACCTATATACTTGTAGAATTTTCAAAAAGCTGTGGAGCTCAATGAAATGAATAACATCCAAATTAGATTTAGATTTCTTTCATCCTGGATTTTACCTTGTCTAAGATAAAGAGGTCTATGCATGGTGTAATTAAGATTAAGAGCAATGCATTTGTTGATATCTTTGTTCTAAATATAAACTATCCTAGATCCTCAGTTTCCACTTAGTTTCCATTCATTCTGTGCCACACATGTGGATTGACTATATGTATACAATATTATCGGCATCTCATCCTTATTACGTGCTACGAAGAAGGTCAGAGCTAGCACGAAGTAATAATGGTTTATTAAATTCTTTCGGAACCTACTCTCCGTAATTATAAAGTGAGAGCCCGCATATTATATATACAAAAAAACTTGATCCAATCTATAGCATGATTTGTTAGCACTTCCAGACAATCCAATACGTCAATAAAAGAGAAAAGGAATCCACAAACATAAGGAATCTCGTCGTAATAATATATAAGTATATATATTTTCAATCAATAGTATGATATCTATATTTTAGTACACGCAGAATGGACAATGGACTTACCTCCTAATCTCCGCCTTGAGCGGCAGCTGGGGCCGGGTTTGGGAGGGGGTAGTGGCTGTAACTTTTATTAGTATCCAACATCATAGGGTTTGATGTAAGTAGTGCATTGCAAGTTTAGATCAGGGGATTCGAAGCCAAAAGAAAGAGTTGAATTACACAATAAAACCTCAAACTAGCAAGCAGGCACCTAGTGGCCTGACACTGACACTTAAGGTACCACAACTTCTTCCTCGTCCTCTTCGTCAATAAGCATGAATGGCTCATCGAATTGGTCCGCCTTGCCTCTTCTCGTCTGCTCTTTTAAAACATCGCTCTCGTATCCTAGGGGCATTACAATCAGATCAAAAGGGCTGTCATGACTATCAAGAGATAACCCCCATATCGAAGCTCGATTGACCCTTTAGCGGTAAAAGCTATTATCATCCACGATATAGAAATCCCTAAGGAATTCCTCCTTTTCTTTTTTAGTAAGCTCAAACCCCCGAGCCTAGTGACAACATCCACATTCCACCATACAATGTCCAGCTCCAAGCTGTCGTGTTTTATCAATCTTGCGATTAGCGCAACATCCACAGCCACGGCTACAGCATCCCCCCTTCCTCACGTAATCCTCGAACAAAACTCGGTGCATATACCAGAGAGGATGTGATCGCCACAGATCAAATGCTCTTATCAGTGGCCCCTCCACGAATGAGTTTCGGACTTTCCACCACTGGAGTTCCAGCAACCAATATCTCTTCTTCAAAGCCTGAAGCACGGCCTATACATCATCCCTATAGAGTAGCCAGCTGCCTATGGCCTCAGGCTTCTTGGCGAGGCATTACTCTTCCTAGACAGTATTTCGGAGGTCTTATTCTATCCGGAGAAGCTCAATCGCTCTACCAACATAGGATGGCGCTTTTCTAACCATGTTCCACCGATACCGTTAAAGAGCATCAATATCTCCACTCTTTTCGATCTTGATTTCATCTTGAGTTTTCTCTCCAGGCAAGGCCAAGTCAATTTCTGATCGAGTCGGCTTATCCGCAGATTGCATGTTGAGCTTTTGTTAACCGCAGAAGCCGTATGCTAGTTAAGACTAGGTCATCGTCTCGGGTATAGAGAATAGAGAGATGGGGGAAGATTATCCTTAAAGTTAAGGTCTACCTGATGAACGACTCATCCTGATGTCAGATACTCTTCCGTAATCTCTATTGGACCCGCATATTTCTAACAGTAAAAGAAACAAAATGTGAAAAGCCAGAAAACTTTATTGGTTCAAGAATAGCTCAGTCTCCCTTCTTTGATCGTCCGCTCCGAGCTTGGTAGGCGGACCGATGGAAGAACTATTAGAATTACAAGCCTGGAGTGAGCAAACCTGAGTGTTCACTGAACAGACCTAAGCACTCACTGAGCATAGCCTGAGCGTTCACTGAGCATACCCTGAGCGCTCACTGAGCAATATTTTTTACATTACTAAGTATACCCTAAGTGCTCACAGTGATCACCCGTGCTGTGAAATACTCAGTGAGCAGGAGCCTGAGCGCCCTCATAAAAGCGGCGGCACCCCGATCGGGAAATTCGCGACCGTGGCCTAAAATCCGGTACATACAGTTACATATGTGGATAAATGTAGAGTCAACGAATCGGAAAATAAGTCAAAGTAAACCGCTCCACCTCTTTATACCCGCATCTCGAACATATCTCTGCAAATTTACATACCTGGTGGTCCACACTATTCATCTCTCAAAGCAACCCCCATAATTTGGCTGGACTCGCTCCACTTTGTCTGTGACTCGTTGCATGATCTTCCACTTGGGCATCCTTGTTTTGGAACATTTCACGGTGTTCAAGTTCACCAGAGCGAGGAAGCGAAATTGCGCATTTGGAAGGACCCCCACACCATATTGAGATGCTCGACACAAACCAGATGAATTATATTGATGTTGACCAGTTTTTACTTGATCTCCGGTGCGTCAATCATTGTGTCAGGCTTGGTACAACATTGTTCAAAATTGGGTAGTCCCCATAGATTGGCAATTTAATTTAAACCGTCCGGTAGCACCGGATGCGTGCCGATTCCCGAGGGCGGACTCATCGAATGACACCGTCCATGCCGGAGAACTAGCATATGATATTCCGGGGAGCGACGATGAGATTTAACGGCGTTGGTGCCATTTATGCGCCAAACCCCTCATATATTTACAACGTTGTATGTAATGGAAGATCAATAGTTCGTTCGCCATTGCCACTGGTAGATTCTTGCCAACGGTCCCCACATTGATTCACGTCGATCTTCAAATCCGAACGACCCGTCTATTCTCCTCTACAGAGATCTTCAGTCGCTATTAATTGAAAGGCTTCGACAGAAACCCTTGTTAGCATATTAGCGCTTTTGTGATATTGTCTTTACTGCCGCCCATGCTATCATCCGCAAGGCAGGCTACACACGATAGAAACCCCGAACGAAAGGAGGGGAAGTTTAAGCTACGCATGCTTGTATTCAGCCTTGTGTACACTCGTTGAGTCAAACCGCAGTAAGCTGCGATGGCCACCGAGCCCGATCTACCCCGGCACATGCGAATTCCCGGCGAAGACGGGTACCGAACGCCAACGATAGAAGATGCCGAGCGGGCGCTTTCAGTCCTGGGGGCCGTTGAAGAAACCCCCGGAGTTCGCGAGGCTCATTCGTCTGCCTTGGAGGCTGCACTACAGCGAGCCTCATCGCGGGCCACTGCGAAAACAAATCCGGAAAAGGAAGCCAGTGTGTACCAAGAGCATAACGGGCTGGGCCTGTTTGGGCTCAAGCGCACGGTTTCTGGTGAGCTGAGCTGGAAGAAGCGCATTCGCCATGTTACCTGGGCGTATTTTACGTTGACTATGGCTACGGGCGGGCTGGCTAACGTCTTGTATCAAGGTGTGCATGGTCGATTTCATTCTGTTCAGTTGAACCTTTCTAACAATGACCAGTTCCATTCCGGTTCAAGGGCTTGGATACGATTGGTACCGTTGTCTTCCTGGTCAATGTCGCTTTATATCTCATCATCTGGGCTCTTCTGCTTGTTCGGTTCTATCATTATCCGTATACATTCAAGGCGTCGTTCATGCATCCCACAGAGTCGCTTTTCGTGCCCGCATCTATAGTATCCTTCGGCACGATCCTGATCAATATCTCGCAGTACGGTCCTGAGAACACGGGTCCATGGCTGATGCGCGCAGTCTGTGTTCTATTCTGGATCGATGCCACTCTCGCCGTGATGTTCTCGGCGGGCATCTACCTCCTCCTTTGGTCGACACAGACATTCACCATCGCGCAGATGACTCCTATCTGGATTTTCCCCGCGTATCCGATGCTCATTATTGGCCCGCATGCTGGGATTCTCAGTGCGAAGCTGGAACCGTCGCAGTCTCTGCCAGTCATTATTGGCGGCATGACTATCCAGGGAGTTGGCTTCTTGGTTTCGTTGATGGTGTACTCGGCCTTCATCTACCGTTTAATGACACAGAAGCTGCCGAGGGAAAATCTCCGTCCTGGTATGTTTGTTTCCGTGGGACCGAGCGGGTTCACGGTTGCCGGGTTGGTGAATATGGCGGCGGGGGCGAAGAGGTCGTTTCCGGCCGATTTTATGGGTAATGGGCCGCTGGCTGCCGATGTGTTGAAGATTGTTGCTAATTTTTCATGCCTTTGGCTTTGGGGGTATGTTCGGCTCCCTGGCTGTTTCTGGCGATTTGTCTAACTCTTCTCTAGGTTGGCCATATTTTTCTTCATTATTGCAAGCGCAGCCCATTGGTCGGCGATTGGGCATGGACGTATGGTCTTCTCAATGACCTGGTACTCATTTATTTTCCCTAATACTGCCTTGATCACTGCCACTTTTGCTATTGGCAAGGCATTCTCCTCTACGCCTATTGAGATTGTTGGGTGCGCGGCGATACTCCCGTTGTTGTTGATGTACTTTTTTGTTTGCTACATGATGGTTCGAGCTATTTTGGCACGACAAATCCTGTGGCCCCAGAAAGGCGAGGATAGAGACGAGGGTGGGTTCGAGATTCTTCGGGTTAAACCAGTGGCTGCAGCAGGGGGTTTAGGAGACACCTAGGTGTAATATATATATATATTGGATGTTTTGTGGAAATTTTAACACCAAAGAACAACACAAAGATCTTGGTATATTTTACTATAATGTACAAATAAGGTCAAATCTCAACTAAATCTAACATTTTTGTCCCCCCCAAAAATACCCTACGCACATTGCAAAGACAAAAAGAAGACGAGAGAGATACAACAAGCCCATCAAAAAAAAAACATAAAGCAAAAAAGAATGGACCCGCCGGGAATTGAACCCGGGACCCCCCGCAAGTCACTATTGTAGTGCGAAGCGGGTATTATACCCCTAAACCACAGGCCCATTTGATGAAAGATTGGGTATCTCTATATTATTTGACGGAACTGGGTATAGTAAACATTTGTACGAGGCGATGTAAGAAACTAAGAGAACTCAGGAATATGTTAATCTTTTCAATCCATACAAACATTGCATATTGTTGTACATCGGGTAATTTGTTTCAACGCCCAATACAGCACGCTAAGGCACCCGAAGGAATCCAGACGTTTGCTTGCCTGTGTCAACTTTGGAACGATAGCCTAGTTTGGCGATTGGAATCATCTTGAGGAAGGCGCGACCCCACCTGTGAGTATAAATTCCCCTTTCCTCGTCCCCCTTCTCCCCTCCTTCGAATTCGTATACTCCCAAGTTTGACACAAGACTGCCCCCTGATAAATCAAGTATGCCGTGTCTCTAGGATCTAAGACAGCCCTAGACCAAGCCTATGATATACCGTAGTGATATAGAATAGGACGTTGATGTATAGATGGAGATACCGTCTTTCTTGTGATCAGATTCCACTTGGCCTCAACCGATGCAGTCAACATGCAAAACGACACCCGAAGCACCAGCCCTTCCATGCAAAACAAGACGCATAGCTTACGGTCTATTCCATGTAATACTATATAGATTCTGGGGCTGGTACTGTTCATGCTTCAACATATTTTTTTGACGCGCTACGATTGCTGTTTGTTTTGGTATTGGAGTGGACAGATTGACGTTTAGAAGAGGCGATGTAAATGGCACGAGCCGCCTTGTTCCTAAAGTTATCTCTTGCGGTGACTTCAAGACCCATAAGATTCTTGTCCGAGATGATGGTCATTTATCGGATTTCCTTGGTTGGGAGCCTGCTGACTGGTGCCCTGTACACTGGAATCTTACGACTGCAACGAGATAGCTGGTCCCAGATGGCTTTGTGGATTGGTGAAGACCACTACGATGGGGAGTTAGCTTGCGATATTCCAAGACTGCGCCTAACTCAATTGTTGACTCATATATAGCGCTCTGGTCTATGATACGGGTTTTTTCTTTGCCCTTCTCTTCTTCCCCGAGGAAGTGAGGGTATACAATAAAACTAAACCATAGAAGGACACAAGGAATGGACTTGTGCACGCAACTTGTAGCATTCATGCTTTGGCAGCAAGATATGAAGATTGCGTATAATGGACTACACAGCCAATCGATTTGCTTGTCTTCTACAAATAGATCGAGCTAGGCTTGTTTATCCCAATATCATCCCAATGTCATCCCTACAGAGTCCACAGAGTGACAAGTAACCACAGAAGATGAGAGAAATCAAACAATAAATTATACAAAAATCATACAGGGTATCGAATTAATATGTTAAAAAATGCGGTGCCTGCCGCCTTAAGCATCCTCCATCACGGCATCCTTGGCCACGATTAGGGGAGAACTGTCGGCGGAGGTAGCCGAGCTTCCGCCGGAGTTGCTCCCACGCTTCGTCTTCCCCTTCTTGGGGGATCTTGAGCCTCGACCACGGCGGTGGTGGTCAACCGCACCGCCAGATAACTTGCGGCCACGACCGGGCTCCCGCGCCGGCATGTTGAGAATTATCCGAGTGCAGCCCCTGCCTCCCCCCACAGAAGTTGGAATCTGGGGAACTGGGGGGAGGTTCAAGGGGCTGACACCCCGGCGTGGAGTTCCCGCCCGCGTCAGACTGGTGCTCTTCCGACGGGAGGCACCCACAGACGGGGAGGCCTCGTGGGAGGCAGCAGGGAGGGTCGTGGCGGCAATGGTGGTCTTGGGAGTATTCACGCCCTTGCGGGCCTGGCGCCGTGGTGTGGCAGGGCGGGGTGTGGTGGGCATGGGGGTCGACTCCTTAGGCTTGCGCGAGCGCAGTTGGCGCCGTTTCTCGGGGATGGGGATGTCGAGACCCCCATCCTGGGCGCTCTGCTCCCGTCGCTGGCGGTTTAACTCCGCCGGGCGGCAGCTCAGGGTCTGGCGGCCATCGGGGATTATGAGCTTTGACAGCTCCCCGGTGGCCACCGCCCAGCTCACTTCTGGCAAAGGGGCGGCGATGTTGGTATCGAGTTCCCCGGTGGACTTTCGGTCTCTCCCGGGGGCGATGGCCTTTGCCGCAAAGGATTTGGTGGCTGTCAGGTAGGTGGCAGCACCCTTCTTGCGCCCTTTGCTGGGCGCTGGAGCCATGATGGCATCCAATTCTTTCAGCTGATTGGGAGACCACCACTCAGTCTTGTACTCTGAGTTCTCACTGAGACCTGAGAGATGACTGAGAACACCGGAGGATAACGCGCGGTCACTGTAGCCGCCCTCGAGGATGCTGATGACACGCCCCTCGACACCGAGGCCTTCCTCTTGCGACATGCGGATAACATCCGCGGTGAACTTGGCGTAGAATTCAGTCGGCACCTTCACGCTGTGGCGTTGCATGCCGTTGCCTTCCCACTCACTGGCATCAAACCCGGCAGAGATAAAGATTGCCGCCTTGGGCACTGGAGAATTCGGATTCTCTTGTCGTTCTTGGTTGAGTTCAATTGTCCATTCGCGAAGAAAGGAGCGGGCTTTGGTGAGCAATGCGTTGTATTTCGTCTGGTATAATTTCCAGAACTCATCAAGATCGGCCCACTTTTCGAGATGAACGTTCCAAATGGATTGATTGTGTGCTTCGACACAGAGGCTGGCACCCATGACTTTGTCGCGCTCGCCGTTCTCGCAAGGGAAAGAGTTCACGTCGTGCAAACTGTAGTAGCCAATCGCTGCTTTGGTATATGGAGAAGCGTCTTCATATTCCTTGAATTTCGTAGCATCGGTTTTGGCCAAGTTGGCCCTTTGTGTTTTGTTGAGCAATCTGGAGTTGTGATCGTATGCAATGTCCTGAGACCCATCGCCGTGGTGAAGATCGAAGTCAAGGATAGCAGCGTGGGTCAGACCGTGGTCTGTCGCTGCGTGGGAAATTCCGACATGAACGTTGTTGATCCAGCAAAAGCCAGAAGGGAAGTTAGCCGAACAGTGGTGACCAGGAGGTCGAATGCAGACAAATGCGCGCTGAATCGTACCAGAGTCGAAAACAAGATCCACGCCCTCGCAGATGCCCCCCAGGGCTCCTTGGAAGGCGTTCACAGACTCTGAGCATAAGTAGAGGTCGTTGGTATTTAGAGCAGGACCACTTGTCCCAAGCCCGTCGTGTTCTTCCGTTTGTTGCCTGGCAAGTTCATTACCATCCATGATGAGACGTGACTCTGCAATGTCCCCCATCCATTTCAATTCTGACATCCATTGGATTCCATGGACATCCGTAACAGCAGTATCAGACAAATGCACTTTGCGATCAGTCTTGAGAATCTGAAAAGGAACGTCGATGTTCCTCAAGCTCAAACTTGGGTTTGGCGCGAGACCTTCCGCATACCGAGAGCCGAGGAGGACATAAGCTGCAGAGATGCCTACAGCGCAGGCACGGATGCGCTCCGGTCTTTCGACAATTCTCTCAAGAGTCCGTTTTGGTGCTTCAAGCTGGGAGTAACGATGACCATAGCAGTCGTCATGAACAATAACAGCAGTTTGAGTATTGATACCACCAGATCGGTGCAATTCAAGCTCCTTTGAGAAGTGCTCCGCGGCGACAGACGAAGCAGTCGGAATTGGAGCCTCTGGAGCTGGGCTGAATACAAGGCGTGCGGGGTGCATCGCGGGTGAAGTTGCAGTGGTTGGCAGCCCCGCAGAGGTGAGTGATATGCGGCGTGAAGGATCAGGAGTTGGAGATGAAGATTTGAGCGGTTGTGAGACCGACCGAAGAGATGCAGTGGACTTGCGCTTTTGTAGTGGTGTAATTGACTTGCGTCGTTCGTCCTGAAAAGAAACAGAACCGGCTGTCTGTGGTGAGACAAGTTGAACAGGTTGATTTGACTGTAAAGTGACAGATTGAACAGGCTGGTTGGCATGTAGAGGAATAACAGGCACAGGCCGAGTGGCTTGAACAGATCTAGGGGGAAGATTCGATGGAATAGAAGAAAGACGAGGTGATGGAGGCAATGGGGTCGCTGTCGCCAGAGTCAGGCGATCCAGAGAGTCGATCAATTTACAATGCGCTTCATCGATATTGTTGTTATTGACCCCATTGTCCCCGAATAGTGGTGGGTCCTCCTGAGTGGAGGGGAGCTTGTATGGATCCATCTTGCAGATATCAACTCTGCCACAAAGGGTTTGCAATACACGATGTTTCTTCTCATTCAATACGGAGTGAAAGCCGAGAGATGATAGGTCGAGGTTGGATGAATAGGGAAGGGGAAACAAAGAGACAAGGAAATGTGGGGATTCACATGTTTGGGTTAAGCCACATGGGGCAAGGGTTCGGCCGATCTCTATAGCATAGAACAACGACATCCAACGACATCTATATCTTTTTAATATTATATTTCTATTGTTTATATTTCTATTGTTATTGATCTCACCTCCTTTGACTTGATCCTTATTGTTTAACTGTGACACATTCGTTGATATTGTATTCTCTTCATTGATAGCGTAACAATCCACAACTATGCTTCCTGCACTCTCTAGTAGGACTCATCTCTAGTATAAAATAGACAGAAAAAAAAGGTTTCAAATAAAGACAAGAATCGAATCACATGCAGATCATCTAGATCATTGCATCCATGTGATGGAACGCCGTAAACCCACAGAGTTCCGTTTCCCAAACCGAGAGCTCAAATCCCCCAACACCGAAAGTCGTAGTAAGATAGACAAAGAGAGAAGAAAAAAAAATCTAATGTAGGTGTAGTCACTTAACGCGACCGCAGACCTCGCCATTGATACCACTGATACCAACGGCGGCCGAAAGAATCCTTCTCGTCAAGGGAATCTTGAGATCGGCGGCGCACCTTATTCTCCTTCTTGCGGGTCTCCTTCTCGGACTCGAAACCGCGCGTGGCGTGTGAGTTGCAGAAGCAGTGCATGTGAACGGTCTCGACGCTGATGCCCGGGCAGCCATTCCGACGGTGCGCGGCGCAGACGCTGGTGCCGGCATCTTCTTCGCACTGGCACCATTCGTAGTGTGTGAAATATTGGCGGCACATGACTGATTTTGTTGAATGATTTTCTTAAAACTTGTTGACAGTTGACTTTGCAGGGGGCCCTGCAGGTGCCCAAGATGCGTTTTTGATACTTGATAGTTGATGGATGAAGAACAATATGGATTTGTGGGTTTGGAAGTGGGTTGAGCAAGTGACCGTGAGATGAATGATGTATTGGCAAGGAAATGAGGATGTCAAATGCTCAATATGTAAATGGTTTCTGGCGTTGGAGTAGCTACTAAGCCTGATCGGAAAGCCACGGAAAGTATGCTTTGTAGCCGGTGATGTCGAGATGTTTGGAGCTTTTTAAAAAACTTTGTTCAGACCAGCTGAAATGGGATGTGAGATGGAGATTTGAAGGGATCAGCAAGAAGTAAAAAAAGGATCGGAGGTACAGGGGGGCAGATAATAAGCTCTTTAAGTTGCAGGCTAATGTAATGATGAGTGAATAGTCATTGACCGGTCCATGAATGGGACCACGGCTATTGATTGGAGCTGACGTCAAAGAAACCCTTTCCTTTGATTATTGTGGTATGTAATTATATTATAAGTGGGCTTCATGATTAATACTATTATTATTGGTGGGTTTATACTTTGCCTAGATCTTTCTACTGAGAGCTACAGGTTACATCTGAGGTCGTACTCTCGACGGCGCTTGGTATTTTTGCTAGGTCTAATACATACTCCGTACTCCCGTCTTAAGTCAGAATCTAGGCAACAAACTTGGCAAGAGCCCGGATGGAGACAGGAGGTTACGAAGTGAGGTAATGAAAATGGGATTGATCTTGGCAGACAGACCAGAAAAGAAAGGCGGCTATCGTTGTGTTTCAACAGGTTCAACGAAAGCAATGCCAGAAATAAAATCATGCAGAAAGATTAAAAATAGGGATCGAGATCCTGCATCAAAGGAGTTTGAAACTCAACGGCGACAAATCTGATCGACAAGCCCAGCCGAAAGCCAGTCAGCCCTGACAGGTTGAGGATCCGCTCATACCCGGCGCTCCGTGGGGGTCTCTTTTCCGAGTATGCAGATCCATGATTGGAGCAGAGTCTGTTTGGCTTGCCGCCAGGATCCCGGGATTACCTGCCTGGTGTCTGTATCATTTAGCGCCGAAGAAAAATGATAAATAGAGTTTGGATCTTGGTTGACATTCTTGGGTAGATCGAGATAAATGATCTCACCATCTTTAGAGACGCAAACGGAAGAAATGAAATAAACTATGAGGCGGAGAACAGGTGGCGGTGCATGCAGGTCACGTGCACCGAGGTATTCCCCGAAATTGATGCCTAAGGCTCTAATAGAAAGTCCACCTTCGATCCATAGCTCGGATTTGATTTGCCTCGATTCAATTGAACACATCATTGCAATTCGTAACGGAGCTTTTATCAAACCACCAAACGCCCAATAACAAATCCTCAAAAAGGAGTACACCCCAAACCAGCCGAGCAACACCAACAATCACAATCAACACAACACCAACAAATAACCCCACCCAAACTGCAATGACAACCAACACACCACCCGAACCCCCAACAATGACCCCGGCAACACCAGCGCGTGCCGCTGCACTTCTTTCAAACCTAACGGCCGTGCGCGCGCGAGTGAGCACAGCCGCCCTCCAAGCCCCAATCCCCAGCAAACCAATTCGACTCGTAGCTGTCTCCAAGCTCAAGCCCGCGGCCGACGCCCTAGCATTGCACCAAGCCCCAGGATCGCAACTCCACTTTGGCGAGAACTACCTGCAAGAACTACTCGAGAAATCGCGACTGCTGCCGGCAAGCATCAAATGGCACTTCATTGGCGGGCTGCAGAGCAACAAGTGCGTGACGCTTGCGCGGGATGTGCGCGGGCTGTGGGCCGTCGAGAGTGTCGACTCGGAGAAAAAGGCGAAGCTGCTGGATAAAGGGTGGGGCGAGAGGGGACCTGATATGGCTGCTACGAACCACGACGAGGATGGGAGACTGCGCATCTATGTCCAGGTTAATACATCTGGCGAGGAGAATAAGGCTGGCGTTGAACCCTCTGCGGCGACAGCGCTTTGTCGATATGTTCGCGAGCAGTGTCCCCGGCTCAAGTTGCAGGGTTTTATGACCATTGGTGCTATTGCGAGATCGCGGGCGACGACGGTGGAGAATGAAAATGAGGACTTTGTTTGTTTGAGGGAGACGAGGGATCGAGTGGTCAAGGAGCTTGGCTTGGTTGGGGATGAGGCTGAATTGGAGCTTAGTATGGGTATGAGCTCAGATTTCGAGGGGGCGATTGCTCTTGGTAGCGATCAGGTAAGGGTTGGAACCACGATCTTCGGGGATCGGCCGCCTAAGGCGGAGGCAAGCATTGTTTGAGCTTGAGGGCTGAGGTGGTTATGAGTCACGATATTTCTTTTTGCGTTGATGTGAAGATTAGATCCTAAAAAGTTGTTGGGCTTCTGGTGGGGATGTATCACCACTGAGAATGCTGATTATTAGATGTACCGTATATATAACTAGCACCTCTATTTATTACTTTACTGGCAAGGATTTATACACAAAGAGATGCGATGTTCCACTAGGAACACTTGCTAATATTTGACTTGGTAATCTAATTAGAGATATACATGAATGCTTCCATATCACCTGCAGACGCCCTAATCAAATGCTTCGTCTGCTTTCATGCCCTGCGCCAGCTTCAACTCCATCTGTCTGACCAGTGACTGCGGTACCTCTTCTTGGGTGGCACGAACAGTTACGCGATACATCTGAATGAAATAGTTAGCATGAAGATACCAAACGAATAGGAAGAGCTCTAATACATACCTTCTTCCCGTAGTTGGGCTCCAGCCGCAGCAGACAGCCCGTCTTACCTCCCTCGAATTGGTACACCGCGCAGCCAACAATATTTTCAGAGTTTGGATCGACACCATCCAGAATCTTGAATGCGAATCCCTCGACAATTCTCCGAGTGAATCGTTCGTTGATGACCTTATTCTTACCCAGCAAGCCAAAGGTCTTCTGGGACTCTAGCGGGCCACCCCCAATCTGACGCCAGCGCTTAAAGAATTCCTCGGCTGACAGAGACGACGATTCCATGTAGCGATGCATCAGGACAGGCAGCTGGAGTGTGTAGGCCTGGAGAGCACCGGCCAAGTATGAGATACGGATGGTAGGCGCATCCGTGAAGGGACCGTGGGCGGTGCAGAACAGAGTCTGTTGTGTCTGCCCAGCAGCCGGGATTGTTGGTTCAGGTAGGTTCTTCGTGTCGATTTTCAGTTGAGGAGAGGCTGGATTGTCGACGGTGGTGGTAAGAGACCCGATGGGGTATGTGGACTTGTTCGAGATGTAGAGCTTCACGACACCCATAGGACCGCGGTACTCCGAGCGCAGTCCGACCTGGATCTGTGCATCTTCGAAAAGCACACCTTCACGCGAGAAGAACAGTCGGTTGTAACCAACGTCCCATTCTGGGGTCAGATGAGCGGCACTGGCCATATTGGGAGCCGGAGCTGATGGACCGCTGAGGTCTAGGCCTGCCAAATCGCCCGATGCACTGGCCGTATTGGACGCGCTTGCCGGGCTAACCGGGGTGCTGCCAGACCCAGTGCGCGTGCCATGAACGATTGTCGTGAAGGTGCGCTTGAGACCGGTGTTCTGTGCCAAGAGCATTTCCTGCTTGTCCGCATTTGCGTCCTTGCCACCGATGACCCAGGTCTTCTTCTCACTCGCACCGGCTGTCTTTTGGTGTAGCCGTGAAAGTAGAATGGAGGTTCGCTCCGAGAATGGCGGCATCTCATCGCAGACCGTTCGCAGCAGATCGTCGGTCGGGAGAGTCGCCAGCGACAGGTACTCAAATGCTCGCTGCTGCAGTTCGGAATCGGGGGAATGGCTGTACAGGCGGAAGATTTGCAAAAGCTGAGGTTTGATTTCAGGGAACAAGTTCACGAACTTGACAAACGAGGAGAGGATCATGGCCCGTGCGTTGTCGGAACTAGAGAACATCTTGGCCTGCAGGGCCAGGAATTGTTCGATGGGGCTTGAGCCGGCGTTGTCGGCGATGAGGTGGCCGTACTCGCCCAAGACGTAGCAGCCGATTTTCACCAAACTTTCGTGGCAATCGGACTTCATGTAGCCCAACAGGGTGTGTGCTGCATAGGCTTGTAGTTCTTCGTTATTGGTCACGATCTGAATCACTCGTTGCCATACTTCGTCGTTAACATGTTCGCCTGCCAGTGAGAGCAGTTTCAATGTCATGTCAATGTACCACTGTGCATCAGCGGCGTATTTCTCGGTAAGGATGGCAACTTTAAGCACCATTTCCTCTCGAATGGCATAATCGGCAGTCTGCAGGTATCGCAGAAGCTCGTTTACAATGGGGCCGGCATTACTGGTATCGCACATGCTGTACAACAGGTCCAATCCTTTGCGACGAACACTGATGTCGCGGTCTCGAAGCGAGCCCAGGATGATGTTCTGGTGCTTCTTAATCGGGTCAAGGGTTTCGGCTCGAGCGGCAAAATGGGTCAGCGCATCCAGACCAAGGTATCGGACGTTGGTCTCCCGAGACTGAATGTATTTGCCTAGGCGAGTGGAGATTTGCAGCATGAGATTGTGTTCAGAGTCGAGGTGAATAAGGAGGTTGATGGCTTCGAAGAGGATGGCGTTTTGGGCATTGTTCTGCTGGACATTCTTGGGTGTTTCCATTGCAGTTTGCATCATCTGGGAGAGGGACTCTCGAATAATCTCGCGAACATGGCTGTCCTCTGTAATTGTTTATGAGAAACTGAGTTACAAGTATCCACAGCAATAAACATACCTGATGGAGGATAGTATTGCAACAGGCGCAAGAACTTGACCTGGATCCATGGACATGGTACACGGTAGTAGAGGTAGTCCGGAGCGATATCGTTGTCAACCACAATCCGCTTCAATCGCTGCGCAGCCTTGACATAACAGCCTTTATATTCCTCTGGCAAGTCCTGAGCTAGCGCCATGACCAAAGAGGTGACGGAGAGCGCTACTCCCATGTCAGGATCATCCATGATCGATATGATCCTTTCGGCCCATTCGTTTCGCACGATGCCGGGGTATTTGCGGTACAGCCGAAGCAGTGTTAAAGCAGCCTTCTTTTTGACGAAAGATTTGGAGGTACTGGAAAATGTCAGAATAACCATTAAAAAAAGAGTAACGTCCCAAACTCACGGTGAGATAAGAAGCCTGTGAACCTCCGAACCCAGCGCTTCTCCGAGCTCTTTACCACCGACATTAGCCACAGCATGCAGGGCCAAGCAGTTATTCAATTCATGATGATCGAGCAAATCTTTCCGAATACTGTTGACGACCAAATGAAGCAGCTCATGCTCTTCATGCAAAAACAACGTGACAGCCAAGTATCCGATCTGCTTCTCAGAGTACTTAGTCGAAGATATCAAGTTAACAGCCTCGAGATGGCCGAAGTCCACATCATAACCCTGAATGTAGACATAGAGCAATTTGCAAACGTATTTCTTCTTCTGGTAACCATTAAGATTGCCAGACTTAAACTTCTGCCGAATATTGGCCAGCTCCTTATTCACGCGCTTCTCCTCGAGTTCTCTAGCGCGGGCATTCCGCAGATCAGCAATGAACTGCACAAGCCCTCGCATCGACGACATCGCGACGGCAGCAGTGTAGCGTGTTTATCTCGCGGACTGAAGAGAGAAAAAAAAATCGACAACTATGGTATGGTGGGGTTCTCGCTCGAGGTGCGTCCTCGCATGCCACGCGGGATTATCACCTCAGGGGGTTCGCGATCGGACGCACAACGTCACACAACCATGTCCCGGTTATGCTGGCGTGTCGATTATGGGGCATTGACCATGCAGCGTGTCGGATGATAAATTTCCGAGTTCGTGGAAGCTCCTTGGAAAACAGGGGGTTGGGTGTGGTGTGAGGGAGTTGGATCCTGGGGGAGCTTGTCAGCAGTGGTTGGTGTGGGCCGGAGGTACCGATTGAGTGGCGGGGGCTGCAACGTACAGAATAGCGCTCAGTTTAGAGATCCCTGGAAAAACAAGCCGAGCAATACGCGAAGTCGAGATGAGTCCATCCCCGTAACTTGTCTGCTTTGTATTTCATTGGGTCACTTCCGCTGTCGATCAGCCCGGGTTCCGCTGTGGCTGCATGTGGCGGCGGAAGAATACTGATCCGATGTGGCGGTGCAAGGAGTAAGTATAAGTGAGGGTTGTGTTAATTTGGATGAACTATGAGCAGACCGATTCCATGTGAAATAAGATAGTAAGGACACTTGGAAAAGAGGCTGATTTATAATTCTTCTCGATGCATTACCCTCGATATACATATTACATTCTAAACAAGCTTTGGGAGGCTCGACACGTGGTACCAGGTCTATTTTGAGTAGTAGATTTCCATTTCAAAGCCATCCAAGTCCATTTCGATAGGTGTTAGTGCGCACTAAACAAATATAGCCTACATTCTCACAATTCTTCCTTTGCGTTTTGTATTATATATATTGTAGTGAAAATCGGACAACATTAATATCTCATTTCATATCTCGTGCAGTAGTTAATGATAAAGCAAACCCCAAAGCAAATATCAACCAATAAAAAAAAAGCCCAAGCCCAAGCCCAAGACGCCGCCATCCCACCAAGGCGGGGATGAGAGGAAATGCAATTATCAATGATAGAGAAATCCCATCAAAGGAAAGATATAAGCGGACTGAGTCACTTAAGCACTGGTAGTGAAGTCAACCTCAAGGGCGGACTCAATAGCAGCCTCCTTCTCACAGGTGCAAGAAGCTAAAGCCATAAGTTAGCAGGGAATTCAATGCGACATATCACATTAAAAGGGAACCAAAACTCACCTTGGGGACGGCTGCCACAGGCACAGGTCTCACCAGCGACAGGCTGGTTCTCGGTCACTGCGCGCTCACAGGTGCACTGGCCAGCTGGGCGAGAGCCTATTTCAAGCAGGTCAGTATCTATGTTTTGTTTCCCAAATTATCAGAATGGGATTACATACGGCATGAGCAGCGGGGACCAGACACGGTGTTCTCAGAGGAAGCTTTGTTGCAGCTGCAGTGGAGGGCGCTCTGCTCGCCGCAGGAGCACTTGGCCTGAGCGGCACAGACGCAGGAGCCGTCATTGGCGGTCTTGCAGCAGGTCATAGCAGGGTGGACCATTTTGGCGGGATATGACGTGGTTTTTGAAGATTGAGAGGTGATGTTGATGAAGGGGAGGGATTCGTGAGTTTGTGAGTTTGCAAGATGGAAGATACAGAAATGATATTGTTTTTTGAATCAAGATGAGTGTGTCTGAGAGAAAGAAAATAATACACTGCGTCTACGAGTTCCTTTATACTTGTTCTGCATGCGTCAGAGGGTAATGATTATCAATTGCTGTGCTTTGATTGGTTGAGAGTGATAGTGTCACGTGGTACGGTGTTCTGTTTCGGTGGATGCTGATTGGCCCATCGGGGAGACAAGCAAATACATGCCTCTTGAGTGGCTGGACAATCTGGACTGACTGTGGATGTGTTGAGAAAAGGGGGATTTGATTACTTTCATCTCGATTCTAATTCGATGGGTATGATTTGGATGACCAGGGCCATGTCGTTGGTTGTGTTGGGTTTATAGTATGCACGCAAGCGACCCATTGTTTAGTTGCATCGGGAGCTTTGACCTCAATGAGTCAAGTCTGTTGCTAGTACGGAGTACGGAGTAAATAATCAGATATTGTATGCTTACCTATGAAAGTAGATGAAAGTAGAGAAATGTCAAGGACAACTTGGTTTATTTGGTTCAAGTAAATTATAGACTTGATGGTCTGTCTGCTTCTATACACAGTAGCATCTATATACCATTTCAACCTTTCACCCCGAGGCTATGCAGCGAGATCAGAAACAATTAATATTAGACAAAGTGTCTCCCAGACAATGATCGCTAGATTTCAGACCCGACCAGACCCGACCAGACCAAAGGAAACGTGACAAAAATGGGAACAACATGGTGAAATCAAACAAAGAATGCAAATGCAAGCAAGAAAAAGGGATTTAAAAGGATGATTGATAACACAGGACACAGAAAAAGAAAGAAAAACACCCAAAAGAAAACCCAGAAACAACGCTATGAGAATGATTAATGATTAATACTCGCTGATATAGATCGCGGATCTTTGGTTAACCCAGCTAACCAGTTAACCAGAAGGTGGGTATGAGAGATGAGATGGAGATGAGGGAGAAGATGTGGAAAGCAGAACGAGGGTGTCGTATAGCAGACAAGTGGCGGCCGGTTTTTTTTAAAGCCCACTGTTTTGAGCCTCCCCTCACTGCTGAATATAGTTGGGGTAGTTGTAAGATGGCTCTGAAGTTGGGAGACTCAGAGTTGAGGTGTTTGATTGTGTGTAAGGAATTGGTGTGCCCATTGGGCCTGAGGTAGCATCGTAGGAATAGGGCCGATAATCTTGTGCTGCCGAGACTGGTAGGCTCTGCATGGTGGCCATGGGCCGGCCTTGGGTTGACAATTGAGAGCCCATTCCAAGATTATAGTTTTGTTGTTGGGCGCCTGTATGGAAGTGATCCTGTTAGAAAATCGTTTGGAGGATGTCGTGAGAAGGAAATATAAAAGACTAACCAAGATTGTTCATATCGTAGGTGATATGAGGACCTTGAGTGTCTGTCGGTGACACCGAGCCCTCGAACGATTGATGTTGATCATAGGGCCCCATACCTGGATGACGGGGTATAGCGTATTCCATGGGTCGTCTCATATACGGTAGACCTGGCTGATTTGGCTGCGGCCCCGCGAAGCGATTGTGCATATGATACCCCGCATATGCCGAGGGATTGGCCGATGCATCGGACAAGCTGCTCGATCTGGTGACAGGGTAATCGTTGCGGATGGTTCTATGTAAATCGGACATGGAGGCGGACGCAGCAGGACGGAACATCATGTTTGACTGAGACAGGCTGTCATTTCGTCCAGTCGAGGACATGTAGGTTCCTGCTGTCGATGCAGAACTGAGAGGCGAGACAAGATACTCGTCTTCATTTGGCCGAGCATAGCAATCGGTACGCAGTGTTCTCAAAGACCCGAAATCTGGATTTGGAGCGGCATAGCCTTGTGGGGATGCCACTGGCGTGACACCTGATTGTTTGCCCTCGAAGGGCGTGCGGAGAACTTTTGTGGTATCGAAGTCGTCGGGAAGGGCTCGAGATTTGAGCATCCTCTCCCGATCATTCGTAGTGAGACGCTTGAGCTTTGCTCGCCTGACCGTACATCTCACGTTAGCCAAGGACAGACAATTCAAACTGGCGGAGCACCCTACCTATTTTGGAACCAGACTTGCACTTGACGCGGGGTCAACCCAGGAATTTCCCTCGACAGGCGTTCTCGATGAGCCGCATCGGGATGTGCCTGGCGAGTGAACTCACTCATCAGAAAGCGGGTTTGGTTATGTGTTAAACTAAACTTCTGTCAGCAACAATGCGCTATACCCCGAATTCAGACATTGGTACCGGAATCGCTTCATCTTTTTCTTCTCCATGGAAGGTGATCTGTTGTCATCACTGCCCATCATATCCTTATCGTCATCAGGGCTGATTGTCGATTCTCTCTCGTGGTCGTCTCTCAAGTCATGGCCCGAGAAGGATGAAACACCCATCTCTTCAGGATGACCGTGCCCGACCAGGGGCTGAACAGACGAAAAACCCCGCTGATTCAGACTCGGGATCTCCAACTTCACACGAGGAAGCATATCCTGTTTCGCCGCCTCCAAGCGGTGGTTCACCGTCTCTCGTGAGACATCTCTCCCCAAGTACGGTGCTGAACCCATGCTGACAGGTTGTGCCACCGGGTTATTCGAGGCTTTCTCAGCCTTATAACCAGCCGATTGCATCTCCACAGGACGGGCGGGTACGTGCACAGCAACAGGAACGCCACGCTCCCCTTTCTTCTGCACAGATAGCCGTGGTGAGATAGTTCTGGGCCCTAAAGAGATTCTCTCGCTGTTTCGGGCTGACAGATGAGATGAAACTGCAGATAGGGGCGAAGGAACTGGTGAAGATAACGAAGGCAACCAAAGGCAAGGGCCGCCCACTGACATGGTAAGGGTCTAAGTTTGGATATGGGGTGCGTTTGTGTGTGTATATTGCCCTTACCCGCGATAGTTCAAAACCAACAAGGTCTTTGAAAAGGACAAAGAAATAGAGTCAAAAGACTTTCGTCAACAGACACAATAGGAGAAATTCTAGCCCAAAAAGGAAACAGTAGATTCCCCCGATATGAGACGTTGGTGGGTCTTGGGAAGTGCCGGCGTAAAAAGGGTAAAAAAGTATCAGGGTTTCTGCAATTAAAGGGTGAAGCTTCCAGAGGAAAATAAGAAAGGGGAGTAAAGCGCCAAAAAGTGTGTCAGGTGAAAGGGAACAGGTGTGTTTTCCCAGAAGAGGAGAAAGCAGAAAACAAGGCCCAAACGAGGATACGTCAAGCGGGACAACTGTCTCCAGCCTTTTATTCTTTTTTTTTTTTTTTTTCTTTGGATCTGAGATCGGTTCCGATTGATGATCTTTACGCAGCTAGGTAGTAGCTATAAGATGTTAAGAGAGAAGCATCCACCAAAGTGAAAATGTGGTACCTGGGACACATAATGCCGCTAGACTAGGATCGACCGGAGATATGTGAGGCAAATAGGACTTAATAGCCAAGCGAGGTAACAGTGGAAAATACGATATTAAACGGAATGGCCCCCAGGGTCCACAACTTTGGCCCGATAAATTCCATACTTCTATTGTATACTTTGTGTAGATATATGCTTAGGTTAACGGCTTGGATAGATCAGAATCTTCAATGCCCAAAAATAATAATAATCATAGAGAGATAGACCATGCAAATACAGGGAGTCTAGCTAAAATCAATTCTCCGTGGGCGGGCCTGAGGGGCGTGAGACTAACGTTGTACATGTATGTAGAAAGTCCAACAGATCATAGACTGAGCGAGTCCACAGATCAGCACCCGATCTATTTACCTGGATGAAGATCCTATACCAAATGGTCCATAGCGGCAGCCGTTGACCTCGATGGTAAAACATCAGGTTACATATGGTATAGATGGTATACAATACAGATAGGTAGTATCAGTATCAGAAACTAAAAGGATCGGCTCGGAGAATAAATCATAGCCCCCGATCCAATACCTATATCCGGTCTAAAGCCCTTTTAGCCATAAGGCGTCCCTGGATACGAAGTGATAGGTAAAGAATTCAACGGAATACGGGGTAAGAGAACTTGTAGAATCGATACGGAGTACACACTCCATGGCCGAGTCTTCACATATGATCTGTGGCGAATTTATGGTCTAAGCTGAATGGCTGGGGGCGTCAACTTCAGCTCTAGGATAAATGGTATGGGTCCTGCGGGACCTGAGACCCGGAAGAGGAAAGGGGAAAAAAAAAAACAGAGATAAAGGAGAGGCAATGCTTTGCTTGTATATCTCGGAATACTCCGTATATTGAAGAAGGTGGGATCTTAGCTCGGGATCTGTATAGAGTAAAAGAAAAAACAAAAAAAAAAACAGTCCTTAGGACGCCGTTACAGACCGGAACGCGCATACCAGGCCATATGGAAGGGACCAGTCGGCTGTGTTAGTGGCGTGGGATCCATAAGCGGTACCCTAAGCTATCAAAAAGAGAACCACTCAGCGGGCTGCCCGCCACTCCAATGCCTCGGAAAGAAGCGAGTTGAGAGGTGGAGAATGAATGGAATTAAGGGATAAAAATTCAAATGCCGAATCAATATAGAGAGTATTAAGACCTGAAACTTCTCCAGTTTATCGGGGCGATATAACCTTTGTAGAGCCTCGTCCGAGAGAAATTTCGATAGTTCTTTTTTCTTCACTAAGCGGGCCTGTGAACGGAATTAAGGGGGTTTGAAGAATTCCATGGCTCGGTAGTTGTCAGAGACAGCCCTGGAAATCTCCACAATATGAAACAACTCGAGTCGCAGGTGAAATGAGTATATAGAGGTTGTGGGTCAGGAGTAAGGAACTGAAGGGCATCGGGTCGGATATCAGATAGGATTCTGGTCAAAATCAACATATACCTGAGGTGTCTATACAAAATCCAAGTAAAAACAAAAAACAAAAGAGGTGGAGCCATCGGAGGAGAAAACTCGGAGCCGTTTTTTTCTTCG